TTTTATTTTACCAATGGTCCGTGACCCTCACTCGGCATGGGGCACACTGAAAACCAGCGCCGTGGCCTTCGTCACCGTGGGCCACGGCATATGCTGAGTGGGGTCCCGTTGCAGTGGGCATCTGGTTGGTGAATGGGTGGCACTGCTCAGTTTACTCTTGTTTTTATTTTTTCTTCTTTTATTATTATGTGCCACTGTCATGTCTATGTAATTGCCTGTATTTGTGTGATGTCCACTGTAATAAATGTATCTTTCTTTCTTTCTTTCTTTCAAATTACAACAAGCCTAAAACTCTAACCATTTTAAAAGTGTAACATACAAAGCCATTCGCAAATTATAATCGTTCATGGTCATTTGCCGGCATGCGAATATTAACAAGCGGGAATCGAATCTGGGACCGCGTTCCGACTGCTAATGAGTCGAATTTATGGACGGACGCTTACATAACATTATGACGTAATAGGACACTCCGAGACGTATTTTGTGGAATGTCATCTGGTAAATAAAGTAGTTGTTTTTTTTATGCACAATGAGGTCTTGGAGGTTCGTTCGTTCGTTCGTTTTAGCCGAAAGACGTCCACTGCTGGACAAAGTCCTCTCCCAAGGATTTCCACAAAGACCGGTCTTGCGCTGCGCCGCTCGCATCCGGGCACCTCCCGCGATCCTCACCAGATCGTCGGTCCACCTAGTGGGAGGCCTGCCCACGCTACGTCATCTGGCTCGTGGTCGCCACTCAAGAACTTCCCTGCCCCAGCGGCCATCAGCTCTACGAGCTATGTGCCCCGTCCACTGCCACTTGCTTTTAGCGATTCTGCGGGCTATGTCAGTCACTCTGGTTCTCCTACGGATCTCCTCATTTCTGATTCGATCAAGGTATCGATAAGGATCGAACAAGGCAGGTATTTGACCACAATCGCACCTGGTGTTAAGTGGGATGCAGTCTAGGATGGTACATAATATCTGCCCTGTTAGTGCTACACTCTCGCCTTGAAAAGGCCCGGATTATAGTCTTCGGGAAAGACAGCAGCAGGCAACGAATTCCAGTATCTAGCTGTTCGCTCGCATTAAGAATCATCGAAACGCTTAGTGCAAGCTGGTGGAGTTGTTACATTGTATATCACAGGATTCAATACGCTACGAAGCTTTTTGACAATAAGAGATATTTGGTGCAGAAAAGTTCTACATTCGGGACAGAAAAGTACACGAGTGGCGACCAAGGTCTGGAAAACGTACTGTAGACAAGCCTCCTACTCGGTGGACCGACGATATGGAGTTTGCGGGAAACGCCTGGATACGGGCAGCGTAGGACTGGTCGTGGAGGACGAACTATAATGACTCATCGAAGGTGGTGCCTTCCGAATTATGAATTAGAGTTGATAAAAAAAATAATTTTTAAATATTTATTCCAAATAATTAATGTAAATACTTATTGAACTGAATCGCTGAACATAAAATGTAGGTAATTCATAGATTCCTATTTTCACGAAAATCCATTGGGTTGGTGCGTTTTAGCAGCTCTCAAGTAGGAGATGGTGACACCAACAAGGTGGACCGACGACATCGTAAAGGTAGCAGGGAAGCGCTGGACGCAGGCCGTTACCAATCGATCAACATGGAAAGCATTGGGGGAGGCCTATGTTCAGCAGTGGGTGGACGTCCTATGGCTGAAATAATGATGATGATGATGATGATGATGATGCCGGGTGGATCTTACCATTTTAAAATGTTATGTGTGTACCTGTGATATTGTTAATAAAATTGAGAAAAGAGACTTAAATAATTAATTTTCATAATATTAAAGCAAATAAGAACTATTAATAGCAAGAAGTTAATATTTCCCCAAAATGCGATATTTCTTTCGCTAGAACTAGACAAAATAAATGAGCCTCACAATAGCCGTATTTTTACCACCCACGTTTGTCGTTGCCAGACATTTGACTAAAACATTAGATGTTTTATCTTTCTGAGTAAGTATAGAATTACACAAACAGCCAGCGTAAACAATGATCAAGTAAGTGTATCAGTTTCCATACAGGCTTTAATTTACTGTATTTTCTATAGGAGCGATTCTATAAATAAACGACGTCAAACCCAAAACAAAGGTTTATTCTACTTTGTTCACCTGGGTATCAATGTCAAGTGAACAAAGTGGAATAAACCAAAACAAAGGCCCGTTTTCGGAACAGAGAGTTTTGGCTAGAGCGTGCTAATCTTCTAATCAAGTAAACTTTTTGAAAGAAATATAGAAAATGTACTTACTATACATAGAGATTCAAGTACCTAGGTACCCTTACAAAATAAAATATCAACTAAAACTAAACAACAGGGATTACAGGGTACAGGCACCAAAATGGCATCTGCTCACCTCCTGAGTTAATACTTAACTTGAGGATGAGCATGCTCAAGCTAAAAATCTCTTATCAGAAACCACTTTCGGGACTATTCCCACCTCTCGTTCCCACCACTGCAACTCCTGTGTAGCCAGGATCTACAGCTTGACCGCCATAAAAACCCAACCAATGAAACCAGGCTTGTAAAAACATAAACAAATGTAGACCCTCATGATGTTCTTTAAGCTTAGTGTCTAGTAGTTCGCGTACCGGACTACTGTAATATGTATGACAGTGGTCGCAGGTTCGATCCCCGGGCAGTCCGCACAATGCAAACATTTTAGTGCATCAAATACCTATCGTTTGTATTAAATTGTACCTATCAAACCAGCAAATCGAACGTACAGCATCGAATACAGCATCCACGCGCACTGTGAGACCTCATAAGTCATAGTAATGTTTGTGAATACGGGCGTAAGTATCTTTACATAGTCATTTTTAACATTGCTACAATTACATTATTTCTAGAAAAACAACAACATAGTGTAGGTACTTAATATAGCAATTACTTCTACTACTGTTACTAAAGCTAAAATAGCAGTTAAGTATTTCGTCGAACTGTACATTGTGTACGTGTTGATATGTACATTTTTTACAACAGAAAAATTAACTCGGCACGCGTTTTTGCGAGCCTATGTAAATAAAAATAACTTGAAGTAATATATTGTTTTATACGGCAATTGGTAGCCATTATAGCATTTAAATGCTTAAAGAAAGACTTATAGCTGTTAGAGCTTTCATGAAAGGTACAGTTTTTTAACCGCAACGGGAAAACTTTTCACTTTCATTTCATCTGATGTAAAAATAAACTGATCTGATGAAAAAATCAGGTCGAAGGTGGATCATAGAAGAACACTGACTACCATCATAATGTTTCCAAATGCCGAAACAAAAAATTCGGTTAATATTTTTATAAAAGGCTGTAAGTAGATTGTTATGATGGTGATAGCTAGCCAGGAGGACTTCCAACCAACGGGTGCAACCTAAGCATAAAATATTGCTGCCACAGGGAATCGAACCCGGGTTCTCTGAGTCAGAGACTTGACCACAGAGACGGCTAACTGAAACGCGAGTGTCGAAGTTCACTTCGATTAGGATCAGGCCTCCGTCACTCGCCTATGCCGGCCGAGATAATTACCTACAGCGCGCGACAACTTCAAGTTGCAAATCAGTCCGGGCCGCCACGCGCCTGTTTGCACACGCGTATCTATACACGCTCGGTCGATCATAGTCGCAATCAAGGTTTATTGTTCCAACAGCACTGTTATTCTTCTTTAATGAAAAATTGTAATATTTAGGAATAATAATTAACTGTAGTGATTTAAATAATAAAAAAAAAACTACACTTTTTAAATAATAAATTATTTTGAAATACTTATGACAAAAAACTATAGCAAAAAAATTATTTTAGCTAATAAAAACATTTACTTTACTTCACCGTGTCTATTTTCCGACACTACACCTTTTAAAACTGTTTGTTTAATTTCGAATTATCGCAACACTGAAGTTTATTAATAGGTACTTTAGAGATGGTACGATTATACAAACTCCACTAGATTAAAGTTTTCTAATCGTAAATACAATAAATGCTTCTTAAAATTAAGTTTTTATTTATTTTACTTTGCTCATACAACCCTGACGCTTGAGCGGTGACGTAGATCAATTCTAAACACAAAANATAAAATATACTTTTACAACAGACGCAAACTTAACTAAACTAAGAAAAAAATAAAACTTTACTCTAACTATATTAACTGTGCTCTAACTAAAATAAAAGCGTGTCCGCGATTCAAAGAGGCGAGGATGCTGGCTGCATTTCCTCGCTGGATATCTATCTACCTACTTCTTTTAGACTTTATAAAATGCCTTGCCTAACTTAACATAGTGTGTGGACTTTCAAGAACTTAATATATTAACCAACAACTTTTATTGCTTCCCAAACTTGAATGGAGAGTAAACAACTTCGGGCGAGCATTCCTCGTTTGTTTACTTTTTACCTGTCCGCAGCGCTGTAAAGTAGGTCCTAACAATACTTACGGATTGTAGGAACTGTAACATGGAGTTTATTAATAAATTAAATAGGTACTTAAATAAAATCTGCATAAGAAGACCAAGTTTATGTAGGTTTTGTTAATCTTCATCATTTGGTAAGCTCTCCGATGGACAGGTGTTTTAATAATTAAATTTAAAAGTTAAAACAATTAAAAGAGGCAGTAAGTAAAAGCACAGAAAAATAATAAGTACTGTAAAAGCGAGACCCATTTATTTTTGAAAATAAAAGAGTTACTAGCGACATCTAGCGTTGAGTAAAGGTACCACGTGTTAATGGTGTGCAGTGCACTGAAATCTATTGGATTTTTGCAACACAAATTTTACTGCTTTAACTTGTTATTTCCGTAAACTCCTAGAGGGCGTTGAGTTGCTTTTAGATTGTTCTAGGCTGTTGTAATTTTTATTTAAGTTTGTATTTTTTTATTCTATAGTAATAAAATAACTAAAATAAATTAAGATAAACAAAATTAAATTAGACTGATTTTAATTTAATTAGTCAAAACTAATATTAGGCTGTATGTGTCATTCCATTGCGCTCGCCACTGTGGCCAAGTTGCTAAAAAGGTTTAAAAAAAAGTGAGGAAGCAAGAAATGGCGTCGCAAGTTGTTTTTTATTCGAAATCAATGTGTTTCTAATCATTCAAAGTGATTGTAGGATCTAATCGTTGTGTTAAAGTAAAGTTCATTCGTGCCGTTGATGTTTAATTGATGAGTAACGGGTGTTTGGTAGAGAATTCGTCATTCCTGGGGAAACAATGGCGTCGGATCAACCTGTACAAACCAATGTAAAAGCAAGCGAAATTCGCGATTTCGCTGATGATATCTACGGTCAGAACAGCGAAGCAGACGCCGGCGAGGGCTGTAAGCGCCGAAGAGTGACTCATGACTACAAAAGACTTTCAAAACTGGGATATGATCCAAGTGTGTCAACCAATGCGAAACCACCACAATCTCTCGATTCCAAAGGTACAAATCACTCTTTTACATCTTAAAAACCGCGTTCACGCTCTTATACCATCTAATCATGGAGATATTACCGAATTATTGATTATTGTTTTTGGTGGGAAATCTAGTAACCTATCTTTTGTTAGTTACATCACTAAAATGGAGGTCATGACTGTTTATAAACATTTCTTTCAATATTTCTGATGTTTTGGTGTATTTTTTTGGTCAAAATGGTGCTTGTTGAGAGGTAATTCGGCTGATAAGTATTGTTGCAACACTGTGCAGCTTGCATCATGCTGACCTTGGTCAGGGCTACCTGCACTTTCTAGTCAAGTTGCTATGATGTGCAATGGCTGGTTTTAGATTTTTCTTGAGGTACAGGGTTCAAATCTCAGTAAGAGTTATTCTACAGCAGAATGACAGCATTTTATCAATCCAATAACCACTTTTTTCTCTCTTTCGAGTAAATGATTCCTCAGAACATGGACCTTGTATAAAATTGTTGATTAATAATATTTCATTGTTCTTTCATTAAAATGTCTCATAAAACATTGAAAGTAATGTAGAAGTTTTTTTCATAAGAGAAAGTTAAGTTTACAACTTGCCAAGCCTTTTGTAAGAAACAATAATTAATTTCGTTCATTGTTTTTCAGTCCGCACACTCACATGCCAATGTACGCATATAGTTATTCACCAATCATGTATAAATTCATCAGGTTTTCTCCAGATTTTGTATCTTATTATTAAAATCATTAATATGCATTTCTTGTTCTAAAGAACTAGAAATCTAATTAGTAATTACAAGGCTTTATATCATTAATGACTTCATCAGCATTAGAGTGAAAGTCAAAAGAAATAATTATTTATCAATAAAGAAAGACGTCTTGTATGTTCTTTTTATTGAGATCATTAAATTTTAATGGAAAAAATCACATGTTGTTAAAAGCTTACTTGATATTTTAGTATTTTACCTTATTATTGTACATATATTTAAATAGATTTTTGCTTAAAATATGTAGGAGTATATAAGTAAAAAAAAATACCATGAAAATAAGTTATGCTCAACACTCAATGAAATCTAGCTCAATGTCACATCTTATACCTACTAGATTTAGGAAAAGTTGGTCCAAGGTTTGCAAAAAATATCTATAAAAGGCCCAGTTAAATAACTTAGCCAGTATCTGATTCCTTACATGTTTAAAGTAGGGCTACCTTTTCTTTTTTTATTATTTACTATATTTTGACGTTCATAGGTGCTACTTGTGGCCTAAACTAAATAAATATTTTTGATTTTTTTTGTTATTGTTGGAAAAGTAAATAAATTGAAATAAAAAAGTGAATAATTATAGTCTGTAATAGTATTTAGGTATTTATTTTGCAAGCTACATGATACAATTCAATAAAAAGCCCAAGATGTTTGCTTGCATTCTCTTTTGTGACATAAACTTAATAAAAACAGTACTTCCTGATTCACAGTATTGTCATTGCTTGATAGGTTTTCTATTTGTTACTACTTACAAGACAATAAGCATTTTGTTGTTCTTTCCACTGTCTACTAGCTTATTTATTATTCAATACTTGATTTATTTACTCCAGTCGTGGTGTAATAGGGAGCTACATAATGATGATGTAAAATGGGTTAAAGACTATAAAATAGGTTCACTGTAATTACAACTAAATCTGTTTTGTACCATGATGTGCAGTCTGTTTGACTGACTGAATTTTATTATATTTTTTTGGTAATTTTTTAATCTCCATAAGCCTGATCCGACCAAACTTTGATAGTTTCAGTATGGGAAATATCATGTCAAAATGACAAGTTTATTCTGAGATTAATATTTACTCTTGTTTGGTCCATCCACCCTTAATTAAATTAATCTTCTGGTTTGGGTATAACTGAGATATTATTAGATTTATGAGCCACAATGTAACCAACATTTTAACTTTATGGCAGTCTGGGTTCAAACCTTAACTAGACCTCTGTTTTACATTACAAACCTAATTTACCTTATCTCCAGGTACCTAAAAGTCATACATAGAAGTTCTCTTCTATAGTAAATAAATTATTTAATTCATTGTATTCTCTTATAAAAATGTTCCTACAGTACCTAGCTAGATAATTACCTTTTCATTAACATATTGAAAGTTGTGCCAAAAACAGACTAAGTACAAAACATTTAACTATTATCTAAAACAAATTCTACATGTTGATTATTCAGAGAAGTTTAGTAGGTATTAGTAGGTAATGCTGAAAATTCACATTATTTGTTAGTTATTCAATATTCATACCTATTTATTATTGAAACCACTTTTTAAATCAGTTCGATCAGTTTATTTGGGAAAATGAGATCCTTCATGTAACCCATTTTCAACCGACTTCAAAAAAAGGAGAAGGTTCTCAATTCGACCCGTATGTTTTTTTTTTTTTTTTTTTTTTTTTTTTAAACCGACTCCAAAAAACCTACACTAAAACGTAGAAAAATAATTACTAATTACCTACTTATTTATTAGGACGAATTATTAATATTTATGTAGGTATACCATTATTGATACTTTTGGAGTCGGTGCAGGCAAACTTTACATGTTTCATAATCTTGGCACCGACTCCAGAAGTATCAATCATGGTATACCTACATAAATATTAATAATTCGTCCTAATAAATAAGTAGGTAATTAGTAATTATTTTTCTACGTTTTAGTGTAGGTTTTTTGGAGTCGGTTTTTGTGACACAAGTTGCTTAATATCCTCTCATTAAATAGATCCCATCTGTATCCATATCAAAGTTCATTAAAACCTTAAGTCTAAGAAAACTGTAAGAAATAAACAAAAATAGACAGAATTACTTCATAATTGATTAATTCGTAGTACACAAACAATAACACAATAAGTTGGTAAAGAAACTAAACTATGTAGCAGGAGAAAGTGTCAGTTAAATGTTTGTTTACAGTCAGTATGTTTTGTGATATGGATTGACTGCACACCTTATACTTATTGTCTGAAACTACCTAGATTAAAAACCTAAAGAAAAATATTACTTAGTTGTATAATATTTTCGGCATAATATCACATCGTCTGTACACTCTACTACTTATACCATCGTACATTATTATTCTGTGATTATACTCCTGAGAGCTACAGTATTCTTATGTATTTTAATCCCATGTAAAAATCCTTCTTCAATACTAAATAAACCATTAAATTCAATTGTACTATTTTAATTTTAATTGTATTACAGGCAAGAAGCGCAAGCGCAGCGAAGACTCCCTAGAGCTATGCCCGTGGGGAGAGAACCTGAAGCCTTCCAAACTAACCAAGATATGGCCAGTGTTCGACTCGGGAGGGTTCGGCGATGGAGCCATGCTAACCCTGCATGTGCTCAACAAAACCCCACCCATGCGGAATCCCTTACTCTTCAATCTTCACCACGACTTTTGTCTCCACGAGCCTCTCTCATCCGACTGGTTGGGAGGCCTCAATGTAACCTGGAGACAGTCCCAGCTCAACAACAAAGTCCCAGACGATGATATAACTAAGCGAATATTCTCGTCAGTGTCGAGACAACTGCGTATAATCAACACGCACTTCCAAAGGTCCATGTTTAGATACAAGTACCCTCGCGTGACGAGATCGAACGTGCTTTTGGATACGAACAATCTTCGCCGCTCTGGGACGCATTTCAGCTTGACTTTGAAGGCGATTCGCTTCCAGTCGACTCCTCGAAGAGAACTTCCTTGTTATGGCAACTTGGAGCTGCCTTTTAAGGTGAAGCAGGAGCCTACAGCGTCTCCACAAATATTCGCAGGACTTGGCAGGAGTGTCAAGACCGAAACTGATAAAGTGCAGGATGTTAAAGTGAAGACTGAGAGTGATAAAGTGAAGTTGGAGAGGGACAAAGATAGGGAAAAGGAAAAAGAGAGGGAACGAGAAAGGTGAGTTAACTTTTATATTTTATTTAGTCCCTCGAGAGTAGTGAATGTCTGAGTTGCAACACTGAACACATTGTGGTGCTTGAGGAATTGCGAAAATACTGCCTTTGTTCTTTACTTCTGTATACCAACATGAAGCAATAAAGAACAAGAAAGCCAGCTAAATAATCTCTAAATTGAACTTAGCTCGAGTACTTTAGGCCCTTTGGCTGCGAAGACACAGCTAAGCTAGTCAATGATGGTCATTAACATTTTGATTAAATCAATAGCTAAGAACTTTCTTCTCAAAAACATTTTTTCACTGACCCATTGATCCCATAGTATAAATCCCTGATAATCGAGCCCTTCCTAATAATAGCAAACTGCTTTAAAAGTAATCGTATATTTAAATTCCTCATCAATTGTTTTTATTTTTGGTACCAAATAAATATTTTTTCTTTCTTTCAAAAACTGACCATTCCATTCCACGCAGGTCGTCTCACTCTTCCCGTCACTCATCGTCCTGCCACCACTGTCGACGGCGCGCGCGCATCAAACGTTGTTCCATCGGGGTGCAGTGCCGCCGCGACCGGCCCGGCCTGCCTCACGCGGACTCCTGGGGGCCGCTGGCTGATAATGTGGTGGTCAAACACCTGAAGTACCATCGGTAAGCCATAAGACTCTCCCCTAGAGTCAATACTTCATTCTAGAGACTAAGCGTGTCTCGCTTAGTCTCTAGACGTTAGAGTCTATGTCAGTCACAAAAGTTCCCTTAGAAACCAAAATGGGCAGTAGAATCCTTGCTAGAGACTCAAGCCTGTGAAAACAAAATTCCTGATATGTGTTATGGGGGTCATAGGGGTCGCTTAAAAGTTAAGGATTGATGGTGAAAACGGGCATTAGACTCCTTTCTAAAATCCGCGGGTAATTATATTGCTGTCGCGCTCGCACACTCACTGCGGCCGCCCGACGCGACGCGTCGCATAGTCGCGACAGCAATATAATTACGCGCGAGCGATAAGGATGGGTAGCTTGGGGTCATTGGACGAAATTCTACGTGCTCGGCGACCGGACTTTAGAAACTAAGTGAGCTCCAAGAGTAAGCAAAGACTTGTCGCCTTACTTGCGTGCACTCCTCCCGTCACTCGTCGTCCTGCCACCACTGCCGATGAGCCATAAGACTCCTCCCTAGTAATTGAGTGAGTCACAAGACTCCTGGCTAGAAACTAGGTAAGCCCCTGACTCCTTCTAGAGACTAAGCTATAAGGCGGCGCGCGCGCATCAAACGTTGTTCCATCGGGGTGCAGTGCCGCCGCGACCGGCCCGGCCTGCCTCACGCGGACTCCTGGGGGCCGCTGGCTGATAATGTGGTGGTCAAACACCTGAAGTACCATCGGTAAGCCATGAGACTCTCCCCTAGAGTCAATACTTCATTCTAGAGACTAAGCGAGACACGTTAGAGTCTATGTCAGTCACAAAAGTTCCCTTAGAAACCAAAATGGGCAGTGGAATCCTTGCTAGAGACTCAAGCCTGCCGTCTCAAGTCGCTAGAGACTGAGCGAGCTACGAATGAATCTATGTGAGCTACTAAAGCCCCACCTAGAGACTTAAGAAGGTCTCAAGACTCCTTCCTAGAGATTAAGCCTGCTGCAAGCAGACTCCTGGGGGCCGCTGGCTGATAGTGTGGTGGTGAAACATCTGAAGTACCATCGGTAAGTCACTAGAGACTGAGCGAGCTACGAATAAGTTTATGTGGGCTACTAAAGCCCGACCTAGAGACTTAAGAATGTCTCAAGACTCCTTCCTAGAGATTAAGCATGCTGCAAGAATAGTCCTGGGGGCCGCTGGCTGATAGTGTGGTGGTCAAGCACCTGAAGTATCATCGGTAAGTCGCTAGACTATACAAACCATCAAAATCCTAAGTGTCTAAGCGAGACTCAAGGTTCTTCCTTAAAGACTAAGTGAGCCATAAGACTCCTCCCTAGTAACTGAGTGAGTCACAAGACTCCTGGCTAGAAACTAGGTAAGCCACTGACTCCTTTCTAGAGACTAAGCTATAAGGCGGCGCGCGCGCATCAAACGCTGTTCCATCGGGGTGTGGGCCATAAGGCTCCTCCCTAAAGACACTCAGCTACACTCAGCTTTGTCGGCTGTTTGGTGTAGTGGTTCAGAGCGGACTACTATGCCGAGTGGTCCCGGGTTCGATTCCCGGCCGGGCAGAAATTGAAATGATGAATTTTAATTTCTGTGACGGGTCTGGGTGTTACTATGTATAATATGTATGTATTTAAAAAAAAGTATATAAGTAGTATATCCGTTAAGCTAGCACCCATAACACAAGCATTAAGTTGCTTACTTTGGGGCTAGCTGGCGCTGTGTGAAATTGTCCAAAGATTTATTATTTATTAGCTACAAGGCTCCTCTTTATGGACTAAGTGCGCCACAAAACTCTTCTCTAGAGGTTTTAACGCGCTACGAACATTGAAATATTATTACCTGTATTTGCCTGACGTTTCGACCGAGTTGCACCGGCCGTGGTCACAGGCTGACAGGATGACTGGTATCGCCTAAAACCCTGTTTAAATTAATTCAATTATGCAACGCGAAAGTTTAAAATTAATTCTTCTTTGGAGACTATAACTAGTGCCAATATACAATAATAGAACATGGGGTGCTTGACATCGTTAAAGGCTGATCTTGCCGTTATACCACAGAATAATGATAAGTACTACGTACAGAAGTTTTACTTCGCGAAGGTATTTAAAAAATGTATGCTCAATGTCATTAACAATATGGTGTAATTTAGCTTGTCTCAAGAGTCAAGCACCATTTTGTAGACAAACGTCAGTGATCGGCACTGCGCCGAAGCTATAGGGCTGACTTCGGTAAAATGATGTGACGTGAGGTGCCAAACTGCAGAAAATGGCGGAGGAAATACATGATTTAGCATGAATTATCATGAATAATATTAACTACTTATTTACCTCTCAGTGTCTTGAGGCAACTTAAAAAAGTACATTTTGTGTTTTTATTATTATTTAGCTAGGCAGTTAAATACTGCACAGTATTTAGTACACCATTTTCTTTATTTCCTTCCATCATACACAAGAATACGCGTGCGTGAGTCAATGTTCGCTCGTATGTGAGGCCTTGTCGAATAGTATCCTGTAGGGAGCCATCGTGCGTGTTTTGTTTTCGATGTAAACTCGCGGAGATGAACAGGCCTGCCACTACTAAGAAGTTAAAAACTTGACTTCCTCCTTCTTAACAGTCGTGTTCTAGGTGTTAAACTCCAGAGCCTAGTTCAGACACGTGCGGTTTCTCATTGACGAGGCACTGAGGCGGTAATCGAGCGGTTTGCGAACTGCCCAGCAACCGCGCGATCATCGCTGCGTCTGAACCAGGCCTAAAGCTGAATTTACACTGTTTTGCTAACAACACGTCATCTCTCATTGCTCCAGACTAATGCGGGTGGAGACGCACCCCAATGGCGGCGCTAGCGTCGTGTACCTACACCAGCGGGACATCGACATGCTCAACGTCCAACAGCAGGAGGTGCTGGCTAAGGAATTCCTCAAGGTAAGGCTTCAAGACTTCAAGCGACATGTATTTCAAAGATTTCACACATTTAGCTTAGCTTTAAACATTTCATGGCTGCCATTTATTGCCATCAAATGGAAAAGCAACATAATCGACATGCTCAACGTCCAACAGCAGGAGGTGCTGGCTAAGGAATTCCTCAAGGTAAGGCTTCAAGACTTCAAGCGACATGTATTTCAAAGATTTCACACATTTAGCTTAGCTTTAAACATTTCATGGCTGCCATTTATTGCCATCAAATGGAAAAGCAACATAATCGACATGCTCAACGTCCAACAGCAGGAGGTGCTGGCTAAGGAATTCCTCAAGGTAAGGCTTCAAGACTTCAAGCGACATGTATTTCAAAGATTTCACACATTTAGCTTAGCTTTAAACATTTCATGGCTGCCATTTATTGCCATCAAATGGAAAAGCAACATAATCGACATGCTCAACGTCCAACAGCAGGAGGTGCTGGCTAAGGAATTCCTCAAGGTAAGGCTTCAAGACTTCAAGCGACATGTATTTCAAAGATTTCACACATTTAGCTTAGCTTTAAACATTTCATGGCTGCCATTTATTGCCATCAAATGGAAAAGCAACATAATCGACATGCTCAACGTCCAACAGCAGGAGGTGCTGGCTAAGGAATTCCTCAAGGTAAGGCTTCAAGACTTCAAGCGACATGTATTTCAAAGATTTCACACATTTAGCTTAGCTTTAAACATTTCATGGCTGCCATTTATTGCCATCAAATGGAAAAGCAACATAATCGACATGCTCAACGTCCAACAGCAGGAGGTGCTGGCTAAGGAATTCCTCAAGGTAAGGCTTCAAGACTTCAAGCGACATGTATTTCAAAGATTTCACACATTTAGCTTTGCCTTAGGGCTATATTTCACCGGGACACCATGGCGACGCAACCAGTCGCCGCTACCAACAAAATGTATACAGCTTTGCGCAACCAAACGGACACCAGGTGAGTAACTCTCTATAGAGCTGTATACATTTTGTTGGTAGCCGGCGACTGGTTGCGCCGCCATGGTGTCCCGGTGAAATATAGCCTTAAAACATTTCAAGTGGCTGCCATTTATTGCCATCAAATGGAAAAGCAACATAATCCTTGAATAATCCTTTATTTTTATTTTTGTTCCCGAAGCGATAGAATACATATTCTGTGAAATTTTAACCAATTTTAACTTACGCCTGTATGTAGCACACATCCGCCGCGAAACCATGACAGCGAAACGATTCCGATATCTCTGGGTTTACTTCGTTCTACCACGTTGCTGATGTGAGGATTTCATTACAGAGATGTATATTGAAATCGTTTCGCTGTCATCGTTTCGCGCAAGCAATTAACCCATAGACACCTTTTGGGTACGGAATTCAAATACACTAGACCTGATATAGTCTAGTCTGTAAGCACGTAGAATTTTGACCAATGATCCCAAGCTACCCATCCTTATCGCTCGCGCGTAATTATGTTGCTATCGCGCTTGCATACTCACTGTGGGCGCCCGTCGCACAGTCGCGACAGCAATATAATTACGCGCGAGCGATAAGGATGGGTAGCTAGGGGTCATTGGACAAAATTCTACGTGCTTACAGACCGGGCATTAGATCAATATTCTTTGATATCCACAAAAGGCCATGCTAGTATTTTCCTTTTTTTTACTATGCTACTACTATGAGCTGGAAACTAAAACAATGTTTTTTTACACAGCTGGTGTTCTCGGAAGACAGTGACGGCTGGGCGCACTTCGTATGCGGTGTGGTTCGCGGGGCAGCGGCGCAGTTCCCCTGTCTTCTACGCTACCTATGCGAGGCGCACCCCAGTCTCACCGTCAAGGCAGGAGTCCTAGCACGGGCTTCTGATATTGAGACCACCACCGTCAGCCGATACTATCAGCAGGTCAGTCATCACTCGTCAATAGGTTACTCACTAGTACCAGCAGGTCAAGAATAGTTAAAGACTCGGTAGCGCAGTTCCCTTGTCTTATACGCTATCTATGCGAGGCGCACCCCAGTCTTACTGTCAAGGCAGGAGTCCTAGCACGGGCTTCTGACATCGAGACCACCACCGTCAGCCGATACTATCAGCAGGTCAGTCATCACTCGTCAATAGGTCAGTCACTAGTACCAGCCAGGTCATTCGCTACTGCCAGTAAGTAAGTACTCAGTATCTGTGAGAAGCACCCCAGCCTAGTGTTGTAAGACTTGAGCCCTGAAGTCTTATAATAATGAGTTTTAAGTTCCCCTGTCTCTTGCGCTATCTATGCGAGGCGCATCCCAGTCTTACTGTCAAGGCAGGAGTCTTAGCACGGGCATCTGATATTGAGACCACCACCGTCAGCCGTTACTATCAGCAGGTCAGTCATCACTCGTCAATAGGTCAGTCACTAGTACCAGCCAGGTCATTCGCTACTGCCAGTAAGTAAGTACTCAGTATCTGTGAGAAGCACCCCAGCCTAGTGTTGTAAGACTTGAGTCCTGAAGTCTTATAATAATGAGTTTTAAGTGTTCCCCTGTCTCTTGCGCTATCTATGCGAGGCGCACCCCAGTCTTACTGTCAAGGCAGGAGTCCTAGCACGGGCTTCTGACATCGAGACTACCACCGTCAGCCGATATTATCAGCAGGTCAGTCATCACTTGTCAGTAGGTCAGTCACTAGTACCAGCAGGTCAAGAGTGGTTCAAGGTGCAGCAGCGCAGTTTCCCTGTCTTCTACGCTATCTATGCCAGGCTCATCCCAGCCTTACCGTCAAGGCAGGAGTCCTAGCACGGGCTTCTGACATCGAGACCACCACCGTCATCCGTTACTATCAGCAGGTCAGTCATCACTCGTCAGTAGGTCAGTCACTAGTACCAGCAGGTCAAGAATAGTTTAAGACTCGGAAGCGCAGTTCCCCTGTCTTCTACGCTATCTATGCGAGGTGCACCCCAGTCTTACTGTCAAGGCAGGAGTCCTAGCACGCGCTTCTGACATCGAAACAACCACCGTCAGCCGTTACTATCAGCAGGTGAGTTTTCACTACCAGCAGGTCAGACGTAGTGCGAGGCGCACCAGCGTAGTTCCCCTGTCTCCAGCGCTATCTATGCGAGGCTCACCCCAGTCTTACTGTCAAGGCAGGAGTCCTAGCACGGGCTTCTGACATCGAGACTACCACCGTCAGCCGTTACTATCAGCAGGTCAGTCATCACTCGTCAGTAGGTCAGTCACTAGTACCAGCAGGTCAAGAATAGTTTAAGACTCGGAAGCGCAGTTCCCCTGTCTTCTACGCTATCTATGCGAGGTGCACCCCAGTCTTACTGTCAAGGCAGGAGTCCTAGCACGCGCTTCTGACATCGAAACAACCACCGTCAGCCGTTACTATCAGCAGGTGAGTTTTCACTACCAGCAGGTCAGACGTAGTGCGAGGCGCACCAGCGTAGTTCCCCTGTCTTCTGCGACAAATGGTTCGTGACTACCAGTAGGTGTGCTCATTTGTAAGATTGATGTCAAGGGTAGTTCGCGGTTCCCTTGTCTCTTGCGCTATCTATGCGAGGCGCATCCCAGCCTCACCGTCAAGGCAGGAGTCCTAGCACGAGCTTCTGCCTCGTCACTCGTCAGTAGGTCAGTCACTAGTACCAGCAGGTCAAGAGTGGTTCAAGGTGCACCAGCGCAGTTCCACTGTTTCCTGCGCTATCTATGCGAGGCGCACCCCAGTCTCACTGTCAAGGCTGGAGTCCTAGCACGGGCTTCTGACCTAGATACCACCACTGGCAGCCGTTACTATCAGCAGGTCAGTCATCACTCGTCAATAGGTCAGTCACTAGTACCAGCAGGTCAAGAATAGTTCAAGACTCAGCGGCGCAGTTCCCTTGTCTTCTACGCTATTTGTGCGAGGCGCATCCCAGTCTTACCGTCAAGGCAGGAGTCCTAGCACGGGCTTCTGGTATCGAGACCACCACCGTCAGCCGATATTATCAGCAGGTCAGTCGCTTCTACCAGCAGGTCAAGAATAGTTCAAGACTCGGTAGCGCAGTTCCCCTGTCTCCTGCACTATCTATGCGAGGCTCACCCAAGTCTTACTGTCAAGGCTGGAGTCCTAGCACGGGCTTCTGACATCGAGACTACCACCGTCAGCCGTTACTATCAGCAGGTCAGTCGCTTCTACCAGCAGGTCAGACATAGTGCGAGGAGCAGCAGCGTAGTTCCCTTGTCTTCTACGCTACCTATGCGAGGCGCACCCCAGTCTCACTGTCAAGCCAGGAGTCCTAGCACGGGCTTCTGACATCGAGACCACCACCGTCAGCCGATACTATCAGCAGGTCAGTCATCACTCGTCAATAGGTTAGTCACTATAGTCTTTTTCACCTAAGATGATCCGTATGACGTTTCGAGTTTGAAAGATTTAGAGATGTCACATAACTAAACCATAGCGATTTATCTATCGATTTTTTGGAAGAGTTAGTAAAACCTACTTTTAGAGAAATATTTTGTATAGGTGTTATTTAACAAAAAAACATGTTTTTTTTTTAATTACAAATATTATTGTAAAAAATTTTTATTGATAATATTCAAATTTCATGGTTCGTGTTCAAAAAAACGATTCCTNAATCGACATGCTCAACGTCCAACAGCAGGAGGTGCTGGCTAAGGAATTCCTCAAGGTAAGGCTTCAAGACTTCAAGCGACATGTATTTCAAAGATTTCACACATTTAGCTNCATTAAATAAAAAATATTTTTACATCGTATTTAATTAAAATATAATCAATAGACACAGATTTTACTAAATATTTCAAGACAAGTAGTTAATTTTTTTTTATTATATTGCTAATAAAATACAAATATTTTTTCAAAAATATTCTGCTTATGTAGTATGCGTAATATGGATAACCTTGAAGTGTCATACGGATCATCTTACGTGAAAAAGACTATAGTACCAGCAGGTCAAGAATAGTTCAAGACTCGTTAGCACAGTTCCCTTGTCTCCTGCGTTACTTGTGCGAGGCTCACCCCAGTCTTACTGTCAAGGCAGGAGTCCTAGCACGGGCTTCTGACATTGAGACTACCACCGTCAGCCGATACTATCAGCAGGTCAGTCGCTTCTACCAGCAGGTCAGACATAGTGCGAGGAGCAGCAGCGTAGTTCCCTTGTCTTCTACGCTATCTATGCCAGGCTCATCCCAGCCTTACCGTCAAGGCAGGAGTCCTAGCACGCGCTTCTGACATCGAGACTACCACCGTCAGCCGATATTACCAGAAGTTCAGTCGCTACTACCAGTAGGTGTGCTCATTTGTAAGATTGAAGTCAAGAGTAGTTTACGGTTTCGCTGTCTCTTACGCTACTTATGCGAGGCGCACCCCAGTCTTACTGTCAAGGCAGGAGTCCTAGCACGGGCTTCTGACATCGAGACCACCACCGTCAGCCGATACTATCAGCAGGTCAGTCATCACTCGTCAATAGGTCAGTCACTAGTACCAGCAGGTCAAGAATAGTTCAAGACTCGTTAGCACAGTTCCCTTGTCTCCTGCGTTACTTGTGCGAGGCTCACCCCAGTCTTACTGTCAAGGCAGGAGTCCTAGCACGGGCTTCTGACATTGAGACTACCACCGTCAGCCGATACTATCAGCAGGTCAGTCGCTTCTACCAGCAGGTCAGACATAGTGCGAGGAGCAGCAGCGTAGTTCCCATAATACCAGCAAGTCAAGGGTAGTCAGCGGCGCAGTTCCCTTGTCTTCTACGCTATCTGTGCGAGGCTCACCCCAGTCTTACTGTCAAGGCAGGAGTCCTAGCACGAGCTTCTGCCTCGTCACTCGTCAGTAGGTCAGTCACTAGTACCAGCAGGTCAAGAATATTTCAAGACTCGGTAGCGCAGTTCCCTTGTCTCTTGCGCTATCTGTGCGAGGCGCACCCCAGTCTTACTGTCAAGGCTGGAGTCCTAGCACGGGCTTCAGACATCGAGACCACCACCGTCAGCCGATACTATCAGCAGGTCAGTCGCTTCTACCAGCAGGTCAGACATAGTGCGAGGAGCAGCAGCGTAGTTCCCTTGTCTCCTGCGCTATCTATGCCAGGCTCACACCAGTCTCACTGTCAAGGCAGGAGTCCTAGCACGGGCTTCAGACATCGAGACTACCACCGTCAGCCGTTACTACCAGCAGGTCAGTCATCACTCGTCAATAGGTTACTCACTAGTACCAGCAGGTCAAGAATAGTTCAAGACTCGGTAGCGCAGTTCCCCTGTCTTCTACGCTACCTGTGCGAGGCGCACCCCAGTCTCACTGTCAAGGCAGGAGTCCTAGCACGGGCTTCTGACATCGAGACTACTACTGTCAGCCGATATTACCAGCAGGTCAGTCGCTTTTACCAGCAGGTTTAAATTCTTTTCAGCATCACAATACTTGAATAACAATAACTTTAAGAGATTCCTTCAATCAATTTATGTCCAAGTCCCAGTCCCAGTCCAAGGATATTTATTTTGTTTATTATTAGATTTGCTTTTAAAATGGCCGGGCGGGACTGACTAAATACACTCGATTATTGATTATAAAATATTATACGAGTATGAAGTCAATTGTGCTCACTATTGTAGAATCTTACGTTCCTACCTATAGTTTATTCATCGAACTAAATCGGTCACAATCACAATGCACACAAATAGCGCTAAGATGAACTTTACTGATCTACTGATATTATTGTCGAATGAACTGTATGTTAATATCAGTATGTTAATATTATCCTCATCGTACAATGATTTTTATGTGCTGGTTTCCTTATGATGCTATTTTTGTATTATGAGATATTTATCCACCCACAAGGTGGACCGACGACATCATAAAGGTAGCAGGAAGGCGCTGGACGCAGGCCGCTAGCAACCGGAAAAAGGCACTAATTGCAGTCTAATATTTTGTTTTGAATAAAACAGAAGAACAAGAATTGTGACTATATCCAGGACAAAATGCAAACATCGGGCATTCTAATCCCGTCTGGCTAACGTGGGGGAGTATACTACGAGTCTATACTAATATTATAATTGCGAAAGTAACTCTGTCTGTCTGTCTGTCCTGCTTTCATGCCTAAACCACTGAACCGATTTTGATGAAATTTGGCATAGAGATAGTTTGAGTCCCGCTAATGGACATAGGATAGTTGTTATCCCGGTTTTTGAAATAGGGACGCGCGCGATAAAGTTTTTCTGTGACAGACAAAATTCCACGCGGGCGAAGCCGCGGACGGAAAGCTAGTATACTATGTCTCAATCCCCATTTACCTTTTTTACTTAAGAGTAGAGAGTAATGACCTGATGATGACGAAGACTGATCTATATTACTACGATTCTATTTCTCCCACCAGGTGGCGCAGTCCTACGCAGCAGGCACCTTCCGCTGCGGCCCGCTGCATCAGATCTCATTAGTGGGCACCGTGCACGAGGAGGTGGGCGGCTACTTCCCAGACATGCTGGACATGCTATCGGCCAGCCCCTTCCTCAAGCTGGTGAGTGAACTCCTGGAGAGTCCCTTGAAATTCCCCTACAAATAGCCCCTTGTTCCCCTGGTTATTGTCCTTTGCCTCGTCCGCCTGGAAATAGGCCATTCCCCCTGAAAGTAGTCCCTTGCCTTCTTCCCCTGGAATTAGTATCTTGTACCCCCTCCCCTAGAAACAGATCCTTGCCTCCCCCTCCTGTAAATAGCCCCTAGCCTCCCCTTCTGTAAATAGCCCCTTGCCTCCTGTAAATAGCCTCTTGCCCCCTCTTGTAAATAGCTCCTTGCCCCCTCATGTTAATAGCCCCTTGCCTCCCCCTCCTGTAAATAGCCCCTTACCCCCACATGCAAATAGCCCCATGCCTCCCTTTCTGTAAATAGCACCTTGTCTCCCCCTCCTATAAATAGCTTCTTGCCTCCTCTTCATTAGTCCCTTGCCTCCCCATCCTGTAAATAGCCCCTTGCCACCCCCTCCTGTAAATAGCCTCTTGACCTCCTTCCTCTCAATAGCCCTTTGCCTCCTCCTATAAATAGCTCCTTTGCCTCCCCCTCCTGCAAATATCCCCTTGCTCCCTCCTGTAAATAGCCCCTTGCCTCCTCCTGTAAATAGCTCCTTTTCCCCTTTCTGTAAATAGCCTCTTGCCCCCTCCTGTCAATAGCCCCTTGCCTCCCCCTCCTGCAAATATCCCCTTGCTCCCTCCTGTAAATAGCCCCTTGCCTCCTCCTGTAAATAGCTCCTTTTCCCCTTTCTGTAAATAGCCTCTTGCCCCCTCCTGTCAATAGCCCCTTGCCTCCGCCTTCTGTAAATTGAAAACCAAGGAGAATGCTACTATTGAATCTACATTATCCTCGTTATCAATAAAAAGTTACACCCTAGTTGAACTCTGGCGAAGGTAAATGATTCAAAAGTTTTTGAAACCTATAATTATTTTTGTGTAATATCCAACATTTGAAGTTTTGAACCGTGCTTAAAACATTATTTTACCTACTCCGATTCACCGGGGCACGGTGTCAGCAATTTTTACAAGATAATAATAATCTCTGCAACATCCAACGTTAGAGCGGTGTTTGAAACTAACTTCTAGGTGGAAGGTCATCATCCTCTAACCATCGTTTCTCCTCAGACCATGCCGTGGGGCCCGATGTCTGCGGTTGAGATGGAGCCACAGGAGTCAAACGACGGGCCCATCCTGTGGATCCGGCCGGGCGAGCAACTGGTGCCTACTGCTGAGCTTGGGAAGAGCCCTATTAAGAAGCGGAGGTATGGTTATGAGGCTAGATAATATTTATACAGGGTGTTAGGTAAATGGGTATATGAGCCGACACTAGCCCATGTTAACATGGTCATATAAAAGGTATGATGAAGTCAGAAAATTGATATCTTCATTTTAACTATTTTAATTTTCATACAAATCGGATTTTGTAAAATTTATTTTGTATGAAAATTAAAAAAATTAAAATCATGTTATCAAATTTCTGACTTCACCATACCATTTATATGCCTATGTTAACATGGGCTAGTGTCGGCTCATATACCCATTTACCTAACACCCTGTATAAGAATTACATATCTACTAATATTATAAAGAGGAAAACTTTGTTAGTTTGTTTGGTTGTAATGAATAGGCTCAAAAACTACTGGACCGTTATAATGTAAATAGGGTTCCGTAAAATATGTAGATAACGTAGTCCACGCGCGCGAAGCCGCGGGCGGAAAGCTAGTGTGCAATAAAATTACATGTTTACGGGAATATTTCCACCTCTCGTTTCCAACGCTGCAACTCTTCCAAATCAAATCAATCTTTATTTGTGCAGACTGATCAAATTCTGTTGCCAGGATCTACAAAATTACACGTTTCAGTTTTATTGAGCAACTTTTAGCGTTCCTCGATTATCGAAACGTCCTGGTTTGGACTCTGATTCCGACATCGTTGGGCTGTTGATTACATTTACCTTTTCATTATTTGATACTAGCTGACCCGGCGAACTTTGTTCCGCCTTAATGGCAATAAATAAGCAGACATCGCTAGACATTCACGTTGAGTTACTGCGACTTTGTGGGACAATGACGCTCTATATGCCTAGTGCGATTTTGCATTGAACGTCGTCGTTAGCGAGTACGTAAAAAACCTATTTTAGTTTTCAAAGTATCAGCTAGAGACGCTGTACAATCTTTTTATGACATTTTTTTACGCAGTCGTTAGTGAGTACTCCTAAGTAAACTCATGGTAAGCACACTGTAAAGTTAGTATTTTTTTTTACGAAATCTACAGCGATGACGTTTGATGTAAACTCGCACTATCGCACTAAACTTACTGGTTTGAAACACAAAGCGACGTGCGTCCTCTCTGGCCAAAACTTGGGAACACTTGATTTCTTCATTAAGAAAGTACCTATGTTTGATGATCTCGCTTCATGCCAATTTTTACGAATGATTTAACTACTTTCTATCACAGAACCGGCATCAACGAGCTCCGCAACCTACAATACCTGCCGCGCTACAGCGAGGCGCGCGAGTTCCTGTTCGAGGACCGCACGCGCGCGCACGCAGACCACGTGGGACACGGGCTCGACCGCATCACCACCGCCGCCGTGGGTCAGTATAACACAGTATAATATATGTACTAAATTCACCATTGAGTGCGGTTTTAACCTGGTCAGTTTGTCGAGAATTTCGTCCAATGACCCTAAGATACCCATCCTTATCTCTATAGATTTTGATAATTATGCTCTTTCCGATTTTCAACTTTGCGACCTCGTACCGTGCGGTAATATTGGAAAATTGCTGCCTAAAGTCTGGTCGCCGAGCACGTAGAATTTTGTCCAATGACCCCAAGCTACCTACCTAGCGATAAGGATGGGTATCTTGAGGTCATTGGACGAAATTGTGCGTGCTCGGCGACCGGACTTTACATACAAACTGACCAGGTTAAAACCGCACTCAATGGTCCACTCCACGAGTGCACAAGAAAGGCTGCAACGCGGGAGCAATGGCGACTGCAGGAGCCATGGCTCGACCGCATCACCACCGCCGCCGTGGGTCAGTACCATCACCATCATCATCATCATCATCATCCCAGCTGTAGGATGCCCACTGCTGGACATGGGCCGCGGCCACGGGCTCGACCGCATCACACAGGATAATATGTACTAAAGTCCGGTCGCTGAGCACGGATAATTTCGTTCAATGACCCCAAGATACCCATCCTTATCGCTCGCGCGTAATTATGTTGCTGTCGCGCTCGCACACTCATTGCGGGCGCCCGTTTACGCGCGAGCGATAAGGATGGGTGGCTTGGGGTCATTAGACGAAATTCTACGTGCTCGGCGAACGGACTTTACATACAGACGGACCAGGTTAAAACCGCACTCAATGGTCCACTCCACGAGTGCACAAGAAAGGCTGCAGTGCGGTAGCAATGGCGACTGCAGGAGCAATGGCTCGACTTCATCACCACCGCCGCCGTGGGTCAGTACCATCACCATCATCATCATCATCCCAGCCGTAGGATGCCCACTGCTGGACATGGGCCGCGGCCACGGGCTCGACCGCATCACACAGGATAATATGTACTAAAGTCCGGTCGCCGAGCACGGATAATTTCGTTCAATGACCCCAAGCTACCCATCCTTATCGCTTGCGTGTAATTATGTTGCTGTCGCGACTGTGAGACGGGCGGCCGCAGTGAGTGTGCGAGCGCGACAGCAACATAATTACGCGCGCGCGATAAGGATGGGAAGCTTGGGGTCATTGGACGAAATCCTACATGCTCGGCGACCGGACTTTACATACAGACTGACCAGGTTAAAACCGCACTCAATGGTCCACTCCACGATCAATCATCATCATGATGATCATCATCACAGCCACAGCGCGCGCACGCCGACCACGTGGGCCACGGGCTCGACCGCATCACCACCGCCGCCGTCGGTCAGTACCATTACCATCATCATCATCATCATCCCAGCCGTAGGATGCCCACTATTAACGCGACAGCAACATAATTACGCGCGAGCGATAAGGATGGGTATCTTGGGGTCATTGGACGAAATTCTACGTGCTCGGCGACCGGACTTTACATACAGACTGACCAGGTTAAAACCGCACTCAATGGTCCACTCCATGATCAATCATCATCATGATGATCATCATCATCATGATGATCATCATCATCACCACGATCGATGAATCATCATCATCCCAGCCACAGCGCGCGCACGCCGACCACGTGGGCCACGGGCTCGACCGCATCACCACCGCCGCCGTCGGTCAGTACCATTATCATCATCATCATCCCAGCCGTAGGATGTCCACTGCTGGACATGGGCCGCAGCCACGGGCTCGACCGCATCACACAGGATAATATGTACTAAAGTCCGGTCGCCGAGCACGGATAATTTCGTTCAATGACCACAAGCTACCCATCCTTATCGCTCGCGCGTAAATTGCTGTCGTGTTCGCACATTCACTGCGGGCGCCCGTTTACGCGCGAGCGATAAGGATGGGTGGCTTGGGGTCATTAGACGAAATTCTACGTGCTCGGCGAACGGACTTTACATACAGACGGACCAGGTTAAAACCGCACTCAATGGTCCACTCCACGAGTGCACAAGAAAGGCTGCAGTGCGGTAGCAATGGCGACTGCAGGAGCAATGGCTCGACCGCATCACCACCGCCGCCGTCGGTCAGTATAACCACATAATAATAATAATATAATAAATACACTTTATTGCACACCAAACAAATAACATCACAGAAAGAAAAGTAACACACAAGGTACAACTAGGCGGTCTTATCGCTATGAAGCACATAATAATAATAAGACTTCGTACAGAAGATTTTCTTCGCGGAGGTATTTAAAAAAATATATGCTCAATGTAGTTAACAATATGGTGTAATTTAGCTTGTCTCAAGAATCGAGCACCACCATTTTGTTGACAAATCAGTGATCGGCACTGCGCCGAAGCTATAGGGCTGACTTCGGTAAAATCGTCAGGTGCCAAACTGCGGAAAATGGCGGAGGAAATACGTGATTTAGCATGAATTATCATGAATAATATTAACTACTTATTTACCTCTCAGTGTCTTGAGGCAACTTAAAAAATTACATTCTGTGTTTTTATTATTATTTAGGCAGTTAAATACTGCACAGTATTTAGTACACCATTTTCTTTATTTTCTTCCATCATACACAAGAATACGCGTGCGTGAGTCAATGTTCGCTCGTATGTGAGGCCTTGTCAAATAGTATCCTGTAGGTGGGCCATCGTGCGTGTTTTGTTTTCGATGTAAACTCGCGGAGATGAATAGGCCTGATAGTATGCACTAAAGTCCGGTCGACGGCGGCATGTCGCAACTTGCGTACGCGCTCATTTGCCCGCCGAAACTCCAGTGATAGGTACTAAAAAATGCTGATTTCGTGCCGCAGGTAAATTTTTCCCACTTGAACGAGATGTAAAATCGTTGACAACCCGCTGACAAAAAATTCACGACTCATAGCGGCGAGTAACCCGCCGTTTGGTGTGTAGAATACTTACATTCCATGTACACGGACTCAGAAAACGCAAAAAGTGAACTGTGTAATTTAATGGATTCAATTTGTCGAATATAAAATGCCTGTGCTTCTCAGGTCTATATATTTTGTACATAATTCTAACGTAAAATTATCATCTCCAACCACCAGGTGTGCTGAAAGCGATTCACTGCGGCGACGAGTCGGACCGCGGCCGCATCACTAAAGACGTGGTCGCCTTCCACGCGGCGGACTTCAACCAGCTCGTGCAACTGCTACAATTGGATCTTTATGAGCCGCCCATCTCGCAGTGCGTCACGTGGTAAGCATACAACTGTATTGCAGTGCGTCATTCTGCTACCGTCTCGCAACGCGTCACACTACCAACTCGCAACGTGTCACATTATACACTACCGTCTCGCAGTGCGTCACTATGATACAATATCGTCTCGCAGCGCGTCATTATGACATACTATCGTCTCGTAGTGCGTCACACTGATATTCTACCGTCTCTCAGCACGTCACATTGCTGTCTCGAAGTGCGTCTCTTCTCTTGGTAAGAAGCACGGTATAATCAAAGCGATCCACTGCGGCGACGAGTCGGACTGCGGCCGCATCACCAAGGACGTGGTGGCTTTTGATGCAGCGGACTTCAACCAGCTCGTGCAACTGCTACAGCTGGATCTTGTGTCACGTGGTAAGCATGCTCAACCATCTCGTAGTACGTCACCGCGTCATTGTACTACTGTCTTGCAGGGCGTCATATTAACTGAAACAATATCGTCTCGCAGACCGTCATATTGACACACTGGCAGTACGTCACACTGACACTGCCGACTCGCGGTAGCGTCACATTGACACACTACGGTCTCGCAGTTAGTCACATTGACACACTACCATCTCGTAGTGCGTCACGTGTTAACTTTTTCAACGCCAATGACGGATAAATGCGTACATCAGGTTGAACGCCAACGAAGCCGATGGATTAATCCGCCTTAAAAATGATGTCAGTAATAGGCTAATTGAGTATTATGTAAACTGAATAATAATGAATACAATGATTATATTGATATCATAATTTATCAAGCGTGGCGTCATCAGAGTGATGGCTTTTGTATTTGACGTGGCGCTGAAAAGGTTAAACATGATGCACTACAGTGACGAGTCTGACCGCGTAACTACATTACATATTTATATTTTTTATTTCGCTGCGATTGACTAGACCAGGGCTGCTATTGGCTAGCTAGACCTTGGGCACCACTATTAGTTATTAAATTGCATTGCTCTCTTCCAGGCTAGAGGAAGCGAAACTCAACCAACTGCGACGGGAAGGCGTGCGCTACTCGCGCCTACCGCTGTGCTCCGATGACATCTACTTCTTACCCCGAAACATTATCCATCAGTTCCGCACAGTGTCTGCGGTCGCCTCCATTGGTGAGTGATCGATTGATGAATATTATAAGTTTCCCTTCAGTGTGAGATGACTTCTAGGAAATGGCTGGTGGCGGTAAGATGTAAAAACACTCAACAAATAAAACTCTTAGGTCAGCATCAGGTCGAAATGTTTCTGATCTAATTTTATTATTGGGTGTCACGGCATGTAGCCACAGACTAGACTGTAGCTTTAAACACAACGTATTTTTATCAATAGTATTTTATTTAAGATTGATGTTTTTTAAAGTCAGCATAGTTTGGCACAAATAAGGTCTAGATTCTGGCTAAAGCTATGATGATCACATTCCAATTCTAATCTCTTATCGACATAATATTTTCATTTCCCAATAAGTAATGGCAGATGTGAAAAATGTATACACGACAGTACATCTGGCTACCCATTTAATGTTGCAATACCCCTATTACAACTGCACAAGAACCCACAGTGGTTACGTTGACTTGCCGTCGTCTGTACTACGAAGGCTAAGTAACATAATAATGGTTTCTAAAAACCTATCGAATCGAATAGTCCAGCGGTTCTCAAACTTATTTTGTCTACTGCCCACTTTGAGAATAAATTCTTTTTAGCGCCCCCATTTGTAGTCGGGTGTCGAGTGCTCAGTTGGTATCTAAGAGTCCTCCTAGTAAATGACGCCTCCCAAGCCTCTACAAAACGTCCCGATTTTTTTTCTGGGTCTCTTACTGCCCCCCTTTAAGCCTGCAGCGCCCACAATTTATGCGTTATCGCCCACTTTGGGAAAGACTGGAATAGTCTCTTATGTTGTGTAACAAAGTAACAGTATTGACATATTTGTCGTCTCTTCCCAGCGTGGCACCTGCGCCTGAAGCAGTACTACCCGTCGTCGGAGGCGTCGTCGCCGGCCGACGAGCGCCCGCCGCCCGACGCCGCGCCCGCGCCGCCGCCGCTCAACCACGCGCCGCCTGGTAAGACCTACCCTCTAAGCCCTAGCCAAAGTAATGCCCGTTTTCACCATCAATCCCCAATTTTTAAGTGACCCCTATGGTAACAAACAACAATAATTTTGTTTACATAGGGGTCACTTAAAAATTAGAAATTGATGGTGAGAAACTGCACTGCACTGGTCGAGAATGCTTTAGTGCATTAAGTTCGCCTTATGTTTTAAAGTTAAAAATAAAATAAATTAATAAAAAAGGGTATAAATCTCGTAACATGACCCTAGAATTAAGCACTAACTATAATCTGGTCCGGGAGCACGTAGAATTTTGTCCAATGACCCCAAGCTACCCATCCTTATCGCTTGCGCGTAATGAGGGCTATCGTTTTAGCGCTCACCAGTTGGCGCCACTGTAGAGTAAGGTCCTGTCACTTGCTAGTAGCGAAGACAGTGGCGCCAGCTGGTGAGCGTGAAAGTGGTAGGAGGACTATCGCATTTGCACTCATCAAGATGGCGCCACTGTAGAGTATGGTCCTGTCAATCGCCAGGGGTGCCAACTGTTAGGTAAAAAAAACGATAGCCCTCATTATATTGCTGTCGTGACTGTGCCACGGACGCCAGTGAGTGTGCGAGCGCGACAGCAACATAATTACGCGCGAGCGATATGGATGGGTAGCTTGGGGTCATTGGACAAAATTCTACGTGCTCGCAGACCAGACTATAGGCACTTTCATTGTCATACAGGGGACCCCAAGAGGTTGTCTATCTCATGCTCTCATGAATAACTTGCGTGCGCAGATTACAATCCCATGGATGTGTCAACGTGAAATTGTGAACTCCGTCAGTTTATAATAATAATAATAAATGTTTATTTTCTCTTCACAATGGTAACAAAGAATTATGGAATACTATAATTGTGAATGTTACAATAACAGAACCTTTGCGAGAGACTGGTGTCTAAACTAGGGTAATCCCTGTGTGATAGATCACCAGGCTCTCAACTTTCTCCTTGAACTAAACAAACACGCACAAAGCGCGAAGAGAGATCACAAGTATTTGCACTTGATGATGATAATGATATTAATTATAATGCGTGATATTGTGAACTAACAGTGGGTTAGGTTAGATTCATTCAAATTCAAATTCAAAACGTTTATTGCATGTCACATTACAATTTATATGTTGTTCATCAGATTATTATGTGACGGAATTCACAATTTTACATATTATTCGGGACATAAAAAACTCTAATCAAGTTTATTCAGATCTACTTTTTATTTTTTCATAAAATATGTGATGATTTTTTTTGGTGTATTATTCTAAATCATTTCCATTCAAACAATGCCATTGTTATTTTGCAGACACTAAAAAGTCTTCAACAAAACATAAGGATGGAGTTATAGAAATGAGAGCGCTCAGTGCAAAATTCAAAGAGAAACCAGCGTTGAAAGTGGGCGAAAACAGAAAGAGCATAGAAGTCCAGACCAAACCCGAAAACAAGGACGAAAAGAGAGACAAAAAAGTTGAAACTAAAACGGAAAGGACAGAAAAACCGGACAAAGAAATCAAAGTGGAGAAAACTGAAAAGGACAGGACAGAGCAAAAATCTGAAAGGACAGAGCAAAAACCTGAAAGGACAGAGCAAAAACCGGAAAGGACAGAGCAAAAGCCTGAGAGGACAGAGCATAAAGCAGACCATAAATCAGAGAGAAACGATCACAAATCCGAGCCTAAGTCGGACAAAACTGAAAAGTCAGATAAAGTGGATAAAGACAAAAATCACAGGCATAAAGACTCTGACAAGCACCGAACGGAAAGGTCAGAGAAACATGATCACCACAGGCGGCATTCGTCTTCATCGAGATCGCACAAGTCGCATAAATCCGACAGGAGGGACCACAAGGAGCACAGAAAGGACGACAGAAGCAGGACAGAAGATAGAAAGTATGAAAACAAGCACAGAGAAGTGAAAGAAAGCAAAGTGGAAAGTGTCAAGTTACCGCAAACGGTAGTTCATCGACCACCCGATTAGTGATAGTGTGTGAGAACCGATCAAGTTTGAAGTGGTGTCAGTTTCATTTTGCTGACGTACGAGAGGACTGAGTTTCGTTTCTAGAAAACATATCCCGAATCCACGGACACCCGTAAGTAATTTAGCATAGAGGTTGGTTTGTTTATACTCTAACTTGACATGTTTACTGTTGCGAATTGACTGCTAAGTTCTAGTTAAAAGTTTAACAAAACTTTGATGGCTATCTTTGGAACGGACAAGAAATATTTCAAACTCCTTACGAGTAATCAATTTGCAACTTTTTACATGAAACAATAAAATATAAATGAAAACATCGTAATAAACGTAACCGGAATTTAATACGAGATAATAAATATTGTAGTTATTGAATTAAGATATTTATTTACACTAGGTAAGGTCCATTCTTGTTTTGGTCTAGCAAAATGATCCTTCGTCCTATCTTCATGCTTGAGAATTAGTACTTAGGATAGTCTTTTTGTAAATACTGATTAGTCTCTTAGAGGCTAGTAAGGTTGAGATGAATGTGAGCGCAGTTTTAGATGCCAGTGAATTATTTTACTATTTCTCTTTGTAATTCGAAACAATTAATTGGCATTTATGTAACACGTACTAATAAAAAGACAAGAAAACATTGTATAGGATGTCCTAAAATTAGCACATCACACTAAATGGGCGCCTAAGATGCATTTAAGATTTAAGATGTTAAATCCATTAAAAAAAATAACTAAAATTGATCATCTTCCATAACTTGTACGTTGCGTCTTAGGCCCGATTACCTCCAGTGTCAAGTGACGTGCTAATTTTGGGACACCCTGTATGTTAAGCATTGAGGTTTGGAGTTTTCTGAGACTGAAACCTTGTCTAGTGAATTTTCTATTCATCCATCTTTGATTCCTGTTGTTGACATTTGCATACAATTACGTTTTTGTATATGTAATGCGTTCAAAAATACAAAATATTGAAATAAAGAGATGTTTTCTGAAAAAATGTCTTAGATTTCATATGAAACGTTTTTTCTATGTGAAATTAAATCATATAACTTATGTTGTGAATAACATAAGTACTGATATAAGTGTAAAATGTACTATTAAATATACTGTCATTTTTAATGTTCATCACATAGTACTTTTTATGCTCATAATCTTGTTTTTTTTGCAAGCAAGTCCCATAAGATTTATTGTAGTTATCAATTAAATCTTAAAAACAATCTTTGTTATGTAAATATTTACAATAAAAAGTCTAAAACTGCGGGCGATTGTGATGTGAAAAGAGTTTTAAAGCGACGAAAGAGAATATAATAAATAAATTTTAAGACAAGAAATTAAATTAATATTCACACATATTTCTAAAATTGCACTAAGATTACAGAAAATATATTCTGATAGAGTAGCTAAGGGTAATTTTTAACATTTTGTGATTCTTTTTTTTTACTTTTATTTATTAAACACTGAGATATGAATCATTCATGGTTGTAATGGTATATTGTGCTTTCATACATATTGTACAAGTATTTTATACTTTTATATGATACTGATAAATAAATAGTATTACAAAATAAGACACCACAATATTGATTAATTTATCAGCTGTAGTTACATTGATGTGGGTAGGACCTTTGTACCCCATTGGTATTCATGGCATAAGTTCGTTCGTTCGTTTCAGCCGAAAGACGTCCACTGCTGGACAAAGGCCTCCCCCAAGGATTTCCACAATAAGTATAATAATGTAAATACCATGCTTACATTATGTATAACACTTTTGCAATATTTTCACAGCCTTACATATTTTTATTTCTCTCACAAAGAACCAAATCTAGACTTGCATTCACAGACTCAAGTATTTATTCAAAGAAAAAATAGGGAACTTAAAAGAAACCAAATGCCTAACATGAACAACTGTGTGAATTGCATACCATGTTACTGTTACAACCATGAAAGATGAAAAAACTGAAGATAAATGATGATAAGTCAGTCTCATTTTGAGTCATTCTGATGTTGATACAGTAAGTCGCTGATAGTTTTTATAGAAGTGAGCACCTAATAATATTATAGTAGACCATTTATAGGACAAACGTTTTTACAAAGCTTATTTCGCTGTTATAAAATTGTTACTAATATAAAAGGCCATATTATGAACTTAAAACTTGATTTAAACTTGAGTATAAATATACTGTGATTATTTGAATTCCAGTATTTAAACCAGCATACATTTATTCTTGGGTTTGATCGATTAATGCCCATTTTCGCCATCAATCCCAAAATTATTAAGTGCCTCTTATGGTAACACAAACAAGAATTTTGTTTTCATAGGGGTCACTTAAAAATTAGGGATTGATGGTGAAAACGTGCATGAAACTTGAGTTTTGTTTCAGAATATGGTTTTTTTGACATACAATATTATAATGCTGTTGACATTTTTGTAGCCAGTAATCATAAACAATTCAAACTTTATTAGACAAAATTAGAAGAAAATGAAGTTAATATTGCTACATTCATGAAAAGAAAGAAAAAAGTTCAAAAGGATCAGAGATTGTAAAACTGTCCCAACTGAGCATAGTCCAAACTAGACGTGCGCGCCGGTCAAAAAAAATCGGGCGGCGGCGCGCCACGAAAAAATCCACGGCGGCGGCGTAACGCCGGCGGCGTGGGATTTTTCAACTTTGCATATTAAGACGTATAATGAACAACCACCCTTAAACGAAAGAACTTTAGTAAACTAATAAGATGACTAATCAATCACTTTTCTTCACAGAAATATTTTTTTTAGCAAATTTTATAGTTGTGTGCACAAACATTATTTTATTCACCCTAAATGGACTCGGGCCGGGACCTTTTGGCTGTTAAAAGTATTCCAGCAACCGAAAACTCTCTTTAGCTCTTGTGCTAATGACGATAAACGCGGGTAGGCAGATTGTCTAGTTTACCAGTAGGATAAGATGTCCCCGTCTTCAAGTTTCGCAGGATCAGCAGTAGCTAGGTATTTCCAAGCTTTCTGGTCAACAGCATCATCGAAGCCGGAACCATGAGAACTGGTGTTGCATGCTGTATTTGCGCGAGAGTTGGGAAAGTATTGAAACTTTACTTGTTCTCTGGCTCGGCTGGGCAGCGTTCGGGAAGCTTCGCAATATTCTGACGTCCGAAATACCGCAGTGTCTCAAGTCAAAAGTCTGACCAGTGTGTGTTGCCAGTGATGGTATACGGATCTGAGATGTGGTCGCTTACTATGGGCCTCATAAGGCTCAAGGTCACCCAAAGAGCGATGGAGCGTGCTATGCTCGGAGTTTCCCTGCGTGATCGAATTAGAAATGAGGAGATCCGTAGGAGAACCAGAGTGACTGACATAGCCCGCAGAATCTCTAAAATCAAGTGGCAGTGGGCGGGGCACATAGCTCGAAGAGCTGATGGCCGCTGGGCAGGAAAGTTCTTGAGTGGCGACCACGAGCCGGAAGACGTAGCGTGGGCAGGCCTCCCACTAGGTGGACCGACGGTCTGGTGAAGGTCGCGGGAAGTGCCTGGATGCGAGCGGCGCAGGACCAGGGAGGCCTTTGTCCAGCTGTGGACGTCTTTCGGCTGAAACGAACGAACGAACTTGTACTCGCTTCTTCCTGGTGATCCTCCTGGTGTAATNCATTCTTGGGGAAATGTATTACCATATTTAACAAAATACCACACAACCTTGTCGAATTGCCAATAAACAAATTTAAGATACATATAAAAAATACCCTTATGTCCAAAGGGTACTACAAGGTTCGAGACTATATTGATGACAAGGATGCGTGGTCAGTTCAGTCTGCACATATTTGATGTACTTAAATTTGACTATTCTTACCGTTAGATAATTCCTGGCAATAAGTGGTGACTGAGTTTGTTCCGGCGTTTCTTCTCAGCACTTGCCATATGTTTGTCTCGAAGCGCTGGTAGGGCCCAAAAGATAAGGAGACATGTAAAGTGCCCCATAAGGGCTACCTTTTCTTTTTTTATTATTTTCTATTGACGTTCATAAGTGCCACTTGTGGTCTAAACTGAATAAATATTTTTGATTTTGATTTTGATTTTGATTTTGATTAGGTATGTTCGTAGTAAGGGATTAATTCTTTGGTATATTCTGCTAAGAAACCAGCTGGAGCTAATTCGTTGGCAGTCAGATAGAGGTCAACTTCTCCAAGCTTCATAAACCTACAGTCTAATAATGCATCCATGATCGTCTTCATCTTCCTCTATCACATGAGAAACAGTCTCCAAAGAGCTTAAACACTTTTGTTAATTTTCTGCCTCTTTCTCCAAAACGATACCTGACTGTTTTTACTATTTTTTTGCATTTCGTCACCAGACTTTTATTCCATCAACCGTAACTAAGTTATGGAGAGCGTGCCCTAGGCAAAGATGGTTGTCAATATCTGCCAGCTCCGTTGCCCGCTTCATATTAGATTGATTTTAAACTTGTACTCTCTTGCGGGTTTTGTCTCGGCGCGAATTTTAAACTACCGGCGGCGGCGGCGGCGCGCTGACTCCTTATGGCGGCGGCGCGCCGCGGCGGCGCGCACGTCTAGTCCAAACACGACCATTATGATTCGGTGTTCTCCATATTCATGTATTTTTTGGCTAAACAGTCTAATGTTATAATTAAAAAAAACCACAAGCAAACTAATTCTAAGAAAACATATCACTCAACTTTGAAAGCAGTGTCATTATTATTTATTAAATTATGAAATTAGTAAATCACCAAGGTCCTAAAATTCACATGCAAATATTCTGTAAATATTGTCTGAAAAGATTTCCATTCTTGTCACTATACAATTTTTCTCAGCTAAATACATTATTATGACAGAGTTTGATCATTGTTGTTCTTTGTTCTTGGCATCGAGTCAAAATACGAGTAATCTACCTCATAGTTAAAATTTATTACTGTCAATGATTTAAAATATTTTTCGCAATCTCGTCATTCGGACGCAAAAATAAGTGATCCCGAATTTAAATATTTGTCAGACAGTTGAGGTCTTCAATTAGAAAAATTACACCCTACCTTAGTGTCTTTGATGCAATAATAATTGTGTAAAAATACGTAATTATATGTTAATTCTTTCAGATGTTACAAAAGAAAGACTTGAAATAATATTATAACTAAGATTCTGTTACTTTGAATTTTAGATGATGTAAGAAGTGAATCAACCTCTTCCATAAGGTGTCTCAAAAATACGTCAACTTTACGAATTTTACGATTCTGGTTTTGTATTTAGGACAGTGAAAGACAGAAAGTTAACATCGAAATTATACTTATGCCCGTCACTGCTAGTATGTACTCGCCTACTAGTGCCTTCAACAAGTAAGGTTGTCCAAGCGATAAATACTGGTACATATACCAGCAGTATGCACATACATACTTAACGTATCGTGAAAAACGCAATAAAGCGTTTACACCATCAAAAAATTATAAGCTCAAAATGTATGGGCTTGTATTAGATTTTATAAACAAACGGAAACACACAATTCTCATCCAGTTACGTTAGAGAAACAGTATTATTTATATTTAATTTATAGAAAACGTTTATGAATAAGATGCTTGCCGAATAATAGGGTACTTCTACTTATCCTATGAAATTGTGATTTGATTGCAGGGAAGGGTCCTATGAATCAATTTATGTGATGAAAAATGTTTAAAAGTACTTTATTGACACACTGATTTTGAGCTAAGATTATGGTTCAAGTTTTAATAATCCACTATTGGTAATTATATTGAGCTGTTACGGATTTTAAACATTGTATTACTATTTGATTTTGCAAAAGATTTTACCAAATCATTTGGCTGAAGATGTTCAAAAGTGTGATTACATTGTAGTTTAAAATTAAAATTTGATCTTTAATAAATTAGTGAGTCTGATAATCGTGAAATCTTTAATCGACATGATCGGACTATACAATTTAGTTACAATATCTCTCACACTACTTAAGGCTGTATATTACAATGTAACCACAGTTTTTGGGCCAGCAAATGGAAAGCACCCATGTTATGCGCAAATTTTGTTTCATTATTAATTGAGTTTAATTTTTATGTAAGGATTTTGTGAATCTAAGTTTTGTCTTTTGCGAGAATGTACATTTGTATATTTTATAATTAATATTATAGTTTTAAGATCAGAAGCGTGCGGTTAGTTACACTTGTCTAGGAGAAAATTATTTCTAACAGATTTTCTTGAATGATTCATATTTTTGTTATAATAATAGAAAATGATAAAGACGACTGACGTTATTTATTTTTAAATTTTTGAAACATGTTGGACTATGTCAATGTCATTTAAAATTATATAATTATCTTCTCCAATCTGAATAAATCCAACAGTTTTCAATATTAATTGATTCATTTTCTATTGAAGAATGTTGGCGTTGTCATATTCCAACATTATCTAAATAAGTAAGGATAATAAAATTTTGGATAGTACTAACGGCGACTACATAATGCTGTGATTCTCGATTTTTGTATCAATGTTATTAATCAACAGTTTTGCCCTCAAATCGAATATTATTTATAGTATAAATATATTCCTGAAGAAATATTGTGCTAAAACCTAATCAGTCGTAAATGTGTTTAATCAATGTCAATTTACTGTTGAAATCGATTATAAAGAGTATTGTAGTTAATCGCCAACGTCAAATCGATCATAACTCGAGACACGAGTCAACGTGACCACGGCTCAATGTGATTGATATTTATCATAATTTATGTTTAGGTGGTTAATTTATTGTTTCACGTTTCCTATATTTTTTGAAAAATAATAATTAGATTATAATAGAACTCTGTAGTTTTATTTCAAGTTTAGTTTTAAAGATGCCTTCGTTTTTCTGACGTCTAAAAGTATTTCGGCCTAAAACAGGAATTTAGTTTGAAGTTGTAACGTTTTCTCAAACTTAAATTGCTTATTATGAAATAAAACAACAATATTTAATTTCATTGTTTATTCAGCTCCTTGACCGAAACTGTAGTAGAGTATAGAAAACATCGACAAAACTGTTTAAGTACAAACAATAAATAAAATGGTGACGATACTCAGTCAGATCGTAAAAATCGTACAATCTAAAATGAAACTGTAGTAAATGATATATGGAGTGGTCACGCTGCAAGCAGTGACAGTTAGCACCTTGATGATTAATTTTATAGATATCGTGTCATCCACCAAGACGCGTCCCTACCAATTTTTGGTCGAGAGGAAAGCGCGGGATGCGGGGAGTTTGATCCGAGCAATCCGAGCGTCATTATGGTAGTGTGCGTGTGCACACATGGGTAATTTAGCGTGTACCGATAACACTCAAACATTAGCGGAAGAATGGTGGGGCGCGTCTTCGTGAATGACACGCTATATCCATCTAGCTTAGTTGGTAAAAGATGTGCGCTTAGCAGGGTTCAAATACCTACTACAATATCGATGATTTGGATCAATATTCTACAATAAACGCAAGTTTACGTCTTCACAAAAACCTTTATGCAGGTTAAACAGGTTTGAACAATTTGAGCCTTAGGTACTGAAGTAAATTTTTTGCATAATGGACCATAAGACAAGGCAATTAGGTTTATTATGGTAGCCATCTTACTGCCACTGCATTGTGAAGGGCCTGTATTAAGAAACACTGGTCTGAAAAACCAGTTTCAGATTATAATACTTAGTTCTACCCTGGTTTCAAATTTACTGCTTATTCTAGGACTGATAACGACTGTTATTAGTTGAAAAGCGGCTATCTAACTCATTGAAATATCAATGTTTTTGATTTTAAGACAAAGCAGTAGGCAGTAAGATTAAATTATGTGTCGCTAGACGCTACTGCCGTTTCAGTTTAGCTAAGGGTTGTCAAATTAGAAAATACAGGCACTGCTTGCAGCGAGACCTACATTTCACAAACAATTATTCTTACAATTAACAAAATGGCGATGGCACAGCACATAAATAATGTAATAAATATGTATGGCAAGATGGGATGTTGGTACAAAAGTAAATTTATAACATGAAACATGAATACCAATGATATACGAGTCGTAAGAATTATTTAGAGATCTTAACCTAAAATTAGAGCGAAGTTCCCATTAAAAACAGTTAAATTCACTCCCATATAAAATTGAGTATAATACTTTAATAAAAATCGAGTAAATACTCAAAATTCATTGCAATTGCACATTTCAAGGCACTTGTTCAATAAAAATGCATCTCCTATCAGTCCTATATAAAATACAATAAATACAATTTTAAATCTAAGAGATATTCGTCGAATTATTAAAAGGTTACAACCGTGGCTTAACTAGGGTATAATATAATTGGCAAGTATGTTAGGTGACTTTACAACTTCACGAGGGTTAAAACGTAGCTTTGGCAATTGAACAGCGATGGATCTCACTCAGCGGTCACTGTAAAAAACGTTTTTTTTATTGAATCTCTTTTAAATTAATCTAAATGATAAAATTGGGTAAATGTCAATATAACAAATAATTCCAAGGCGATGGCCCAAAATTGTTGAAAACTAACTCGGTTTCCAATTGCTATAATGTACTGGGTAGTAGTTTAATTTATGTTTCTTACCACAAATCGATTGACTTTGGGCACGAAGGTTTTTGTGACGGTAGTCTGTTGCACTTTCATGTTCTCGAACTTTTCTCGCAGGCTGCAACAAGATAGTTTCATTTATTGAATAAATAATTGCTAAAATTTGGTAATAATTCTTTTGGCAATTATCGGGATTTTTTAGCGTTGCGTGGCTGCAACAGCTATGGCCCTTGGTGTCAGATTTGTTATTGGGCGCGTGTCGCGGCTCGCTCTCCGACCAGTGCTCGAAGCTCAAGAACTATTCTTCAGTCAGTCAGTGTCGTTACCTCTTTTTTATGTATAACAAGGCAGGTATTTGACCACAATCGCACCTGATGTTAAGTGGGATGCAGTCTAGGATGGTATATATCTGCCCTGGAAGTGCCTATTTATTCACTCGCCTCGAACAGGCCCGGATTACTTAGTGTTCAGGATTTTTTTTTGAAGGGACGCGCGCTGGTAGCTTGAAGAGCTTTTCCAGCTTCACCGGGCAGAGTGGCGAGTACAGAAGGTACTCTAGCCGTTTGGCGATCGTCGGTGCGCGTGCCGACGAGGCCGAGTGTGGGCCGCAGACCGACGTTCGCGATCGGGCCGTATCGAGCGCATAAGGCGCCCGATCAGTGGCGAACCCAACTAGAGGGTTGCCCACCGCGGTGTTGGACCAAAGTCCAGCCTACGGTGGGCTCACTCTAGTGGGCCCACCATTATAAAACACGAAAGTGTTCAGGAAACAGAACAGCAGCATTATAAGAGTCATCGGAACGCTTAGTGCGAGCTGGTAACAATATAGGGATGGTAGCGTTACCTTTTAGTCAGTCCTGCTCGGCCCGTTCGATGTTGGGTGCGTGCCTGGGCGCGGCGGGCTCGCTCTCCGACCAGTGCTCGAAGCTCAAGAACTATCTTCACACGCGGTAGCGTATCAAGCCAATTCAAGCAACAGAACTGGCGAGCAGCACCGTGTGTATTACATGAACCATTTGGAGCCACTTTTGACCTCCTCATTCTTATAATTACAATGATAGTGGTGTTACCAAAGGGGCGCGCAATCCTCATCACGCGTTGGTTCCCACTGAAAACCAGCTTCTCGACACGACTTTTGTGTCGTGTCGCGATTTTTGCTGAGCGGGCAAGTTCAGCATATTTTATAAGGTAATTATGTCTACTCTTGTTTTGTCCGCCACATTTTTATGGTTTTCTTATTTTTATTCTTACCTTTTAGCCGTTTCTAGCTGCGATTCCCCGTCTTCGTCCTGCTCGGCGCGCTCGATGTTGGGCGCGTGCCTGGGCGCGGCGGGCTCGCTCTCCGACCAGTGCTCGAAGCGGTCGCGGAAACTCTTGGTGCGGGCCAGCTGCTGCGCCTGGAAAGAACGATAAATGATATAAAAAATTGTATTCAATTTCGACCAGTATTTTGGCACTAATAGTAGGCACTTATGATGTATGTTAAATCTATATTTAACCCCGCTTTTTCACTTTCATTCGCTTCCGTAAAATTAACGTAACTTATGGCTTGAAAAGCAAGTAATAAGAATGTAACTAAAGAAGCTTGTGAGGGATTATGAGACTTAAACTGCGGATTGCCCGAAAACAGCTGAAATGATTTTGATGTAGTCTTGACAGTTGACTCTATGTTACTATGTCTAATGGGGATGTTGCTTTATTTTGTAGGGGGATGTTGTGTTACTATGTCCAGGGGAAATGTGTTATTATGTCTAGGGAGGTGTGTGTCACTATGTCCAAGGAAAATGTTATTGTTTTGATGTTCAGGGAGGCCGTTGCGTTACTATGTCTATGGGGATGGATGTTGTATCACTAAGGGAGATGTGTTACTATGTCTACTGGGTATGTGTTACTATATCTAAGGAAGACCTTTGTCGCAGCCTTACCTGTTTCAACGCTTCATCCCTCTCGCGGCCCTTGTAGTAAGCGCGGCGACGCTCCTCCTCGCTGTCCTCCTCGTACTCCGAGCTGTAGTCGTCTTCCTCGTCCGTGGTGTCGCCGGTGTGGTTGTTCTCCCCCGCGGGCGGCGGCGTGAAGCATTTGAGGGGCTTGGGTCCTGGGGAATTATCAGAAGATTGGAAACTGTGAAACTGGTCTTGTGCGATTTTGAAGTGTTTTTTTTTTTTTCTGTTTTTTTAGTTATATCTTTTTTCGAACATGCATTCAGTTTTTCTTTTTTAGTTTCTGCTTTTTTGTTTTTGCTATTTTCAGTTTTTTTTTAATTGAATTCTGTCATTTTTGCTTTATTTCTGCAACCAATTATCTTTATTATAGTTTTGATTTTTAGCTTTTGCAACTTTCAACTCTATCTATCGAACTGAACTGCCTTGTTTGTCGTGTAGTTTCCACAGATGAACTGCTGGTCGAAACAACAGAGCACCAATTCTCTTTAAACTAAATAATGCATCGCAGCGACGCTGTGCGAGACTAGTGTGAGGGAGGCCCGTAGTCTGGGGGCACGGCAGTGCCCCCACCAAGTCGAGCAAAAAAGCGGCACGGCCGTACCATCCTTTTCTCGAAGCAATTCAGGCCATTTTCGACTGCCTGTAACTTCGTTGTGGATAAAACTAGAAGGCTGAATTTTCATTAGCTATGCAGGCATTGTAAAGACACGGTATATTTAAAATTTCATTCAATTTGAACCAGTAGTTTAAGAATTATAACGGGTCAAAGTTACTTAATTTTGTCACTCACTGACTCACTGACTCACCGATCATCAAAACTCTAAGGCACTTCTAGCAGACCTAGAAGCTTCAAATTTGGAATATAAGTAGTGTTTGGTGTATGAATCAAGGAAAAACTAAAATATTTGGGGGCACGGTAGTGCAACCTGTCAAAAAAACCAAGTCTCGCAACTCAGTTGTTCTACGGTAAAAAGTTGTGAGATCCATGTAATACCAAGTCCAGGCCAGGAAATCTTTAACGTTCTACATAAATTATTGACTTGGCCATCGCACTAAATAATTTAATTTACACGTGTTTTCATGCGATGGCCAAGTCAATTTATTTATGTAAAACGTTAAAGATTTCCTGGCCTGGACTTGGTATTACATGGATCTCACAACTTTTTACCGTAGAACAACTGAGTTGCGAGACTTGGTTTTTTTGACAAGTACCTATTGTTTTTGATGGGATTTATATTTTGTCTTCTAAGGTTCGGTCGTCGAGTACGTCGAATTTCGTCCAATAACCTCAAGCTACCCATCCTCTTTGCTGTCGCGCTCGCACACTCACTGCGGGCGCCCGTCGCACAGTCGCGACAGCAATATAATTACGCGCGAGCGATAAGGATGGGTAGCTTGGGGTCATTGGACGAAGTTCTATGTGCTCGGCGACCGGACTTTATTTATTCTTACCTTGTTCCTCGGCGCGGCCCTTGTCCTGCTCCAGCTGCCGGAACACGGAGATCATACGGGATGCTGTATGGCGGTCTGCAGCCAGGCGAGCGTCGGCCACGCCCTCGCCGCTGCGGACCACGCTCGGCTCGTGGTACACCTCGGGAGAAGGCGACTTGGCGCGCTGGGGAGAGATAATCAAAAAATCTAATTAAAATCAAAATTACTATCTTTATTTGTATAGACTACCTAATGAAATTAGTAGTTATAGCCTGACCAGGAACATAAAAACCCTCGCCATGTTGCGGAAAACTAATGGTACTAATTTCTTTTAATGGCAACAGTAACTGAAAACTTCATTGACATGTCACCTTGCATGTCAGTCTATTGCTGTCAAAGTGTAAACAAACTTTATTTTAAATGTGCGCAATTGATTTTGTGAAATAAATTGCTAAAATCTTTTTATAGTCGTGAAAGAAAAGTGGTTCACAATGTGTTGAAGTATTTGTCGAAGAGAAATACTAAGGGTTCGGACAATATTTTCATTGAATAATGTTTCCGACAAAGGTTGTCAAATTGACTGTCATGTTTATCGTATAGTACAGTCCACTATGAAAATTAGCTGTGGTTTGTTTCAACTACCTATTTTAAAATTTTCTGTCACTTTCTAAATGTTGAATTTTATGGAATTGGGAAAGAAGTACCGAGGTTGAAGCGTACATGAGCAGACATTGCAGAAGAATGCATGGTAAATTCAGTGAACTGCTCCTGAATCGAATGTACCTACTACTACTATTTCTATTTATTTATATTAACCGGCAGACAGTGGTGACTGAGTTTGTTGCGGCGCTTCTTCTCAGCACTTGCCAAATGGTCTCGAAGCGCTGGTAGGGTAAAAAGATTATGAGACATGTAGAGACTCCTTAAGAGCAAAATGACGATTTGTAAGAACTATTTACCAGCGCTTCGAAACAAACATTTGGCAAGTGCTGAGAAGAAGCGCCGCAACAAACTCAGTCACCACTGTCTGCCGGTTATACATTTATAACGGCAGCCAAGCTGTTTAATACAATTTGAAATAAGTTTCATTGTGGCGACACTGATAACCCTTTTCTACAAAGGCGGAGACGAAATGTGAACAAATAAAACAATTTCGTTATTAACCATCACATCTCAGTGAAAATTTTTGTTAGAATAGACCTGACGATCAACCTCGAATCTGTTACAGAATTTTTTGGTCCAGCAGTAGATATCTTTCACCTAAGGGAGAAGGGAAGGAAGATGCCAGTAAAGCTTGATCTGCTGACGTTGTCATGCGCAACTCCTTAGTGAACCTTTATCTGTCTAAGATCCACTGCCGTCTCCACGCGCACCTCCTCGGCCGACGAGCCGGAGCGGACCACGTCTTTGGGCGGACGGCTGGAGGGTTGTGCTGGGAGCGCGTCCAGCTGCGGCCGTCTTCTAAGGGACACCGAGGTGTCTAAGTGACCCCAAGGTGTCTAAGTGACCCCAAGGTCCCGAAGTGAGTCTGGCGCGGTGGTGTCATACAGAACTTGCATGAGCCTTTGTCCAGCAGTGTTGTCTCCTAAGGAAGATGCGAAGGAATGTCCTGTAAAGCTTGATGTGCCCTACCTGCGTCTGTCGCGGCGGCGTCATGCGGCCCAGCTTGCGCGCCAGCTCGGGCTTGTAGGTCTCGAAGAAGCGGAACCGGTCGGAGATGTCGGCCGTCTCCACGCGCACCTCCTCGGCCGACGAGCCGGAGCGGACCACGTCTTTGGGCGGACGGCTGGAGGACTGTGCTGGGAGCGCGTCCAGCTGCGGCCGTCTTCTAAGGGACACTTAGGTCTTTACGTGACCCCAGGGTGTCTAAGTGAACCCAAGGTGTGACCCCAAGGTCTCTAAGTGACCCCAAGGTTCCTATGTGAAGCCAAGGTGTGACCCCAAGGTCTCTAAGTGACCCACAGGTCCCCAAGTGACCCCAAGGTCCCCAAGTGACCCTAAGGTTCCTGAGTGACCCCAAGGTGTCTAAGTGACCCCAAGGTGTCTAAGTGACCCCAAGGTGTCTAAGCGACGCCAAGGTGTCTAAGCGACCCCAAGTGACCCCAAGGTGTCTAAGTGACCCCAACGTGTCTAAGTGACCCCAAGGTGTCTAAGTGACCCCAAGGTGTCTAAGTGACCCCAAGGTGTCTAAGTGACCTCAAGGTCCCCGAGTGACCCCAAGGTGCCTAAGTGACCCCAAGGTGCCTAAGTGACCCCAAGGTGTATAAGTGACCCAAAGGTGTCTAAGTGACCCCAAGGTCGCCAAGGTCCCTAAGAGACCCCAAGGTCCCTAAGCGACCCCAAGGTCCCTAAGCGACCCCAAGGTCCCTAAGCGACCCCAAGGTCCCTAAGCGACCCCAAGGTCCCTAAGTGACCCCGAGGTGTCTAAGTGACCCCAAGGTCCCTGAGTGACCCCAAGGTGCCTAAGTGACCCCAAGGTGCCTAAGTGACCCCAAGGTGTATAAGTGACCCAAAGGTCCCTAAGCGACCCCAAGCTGTGGACGTCTTCTGGGAGAGGGTCGAGACTCCAGGTCAAGGTTGACGTAGCGTAGGTTAGGAGGAAGATGCTAGTCAAGCTCATTATGCGACCTTTAATCAGAAGTGGACATCTTTTAAGAGAGAGAGGAATATGCTTGTGTCTACCTTGGTGTGACCTGGACATCTAAGGGAGAGGAGGAGAAATATGCCTATGTAGTGGAGCGTAGTAACTGTATTTGCCTTTCTCCAGCAATGGACGTCTTCTTAGAGAGTGAGGGAGGAAGGAACCAGTGCCAATATCATTTCATATGCTGTGTACCTGCGTGGATGTCTTCTAAAGGTCATGCTTGAAGTGCTGCTTGCATAAGTGTGGCTCTTCCCAGCAGTGGACGTCTTTTGAGTGAAGGGATAGAAGATACCAGACGGTAGTAACAATTGACCTTGCGTCACCTTGCCAGCCTTTATCTGTCTAAGGAAGAAGGGAAGGAAAATCCTGTAAAGCTTGATGTGCCCTACCTGCGTCTGGACGTCTTTAGGCTAAGGGGTAGAACCACGTCAGCCTTTATCTGTCTAAGGAAGAAGAGAAGGAACATCCTGTAAAGCTTGATGTGCCCTACCTGCGTCTGGACGTCTTTAGGCTGAGGGGTAGAACCACGTCAGCCTTTATCTGTCTAAGGAAGAAGAGAAGGAACATCCTGTAAAGCTTGATGTGCCCTACCTGCGTCTGGACGTCTTTAGGCTGAGGGGTAGAACCACGTCAGCCTTTATCTGTCTAAGGAAGAAGAGAAGGAACATCCTGTAAAGCTTGATGTGCCCTACCTGCGTCTGGACGTCTTTAGGCTGAGGGGTAGAACCACGTCAGCCTTTATCTGTCTAAGGAAGAAGAGAAGGAACATCCTGTAAAGCTTGATGTGCCCTACCTGCGTCTGGACGTCTTTAGGCTGAGGGGTAGAACCACGTCAGCCTTTATCTGTCTAAGGAAGAAGAGAAGGAACATCCTGTAAAGCTTGATGTGCCCTACCTGCGTCTGGACGTCTTTAGGCTGAGGGGTAGAACCACGTCAGCCTTTATCTGTCTAAGGAAGAAGAGAAGGAACATCCTGTAAAGCTTGATGTGCCCTACCTGCGTCTGGACGTCTTTAGGCTGAGGGGTAGAACCACGTCAGCCTTTATCTGTCTAAGGAAGAAGAGAAGGAACATCCTGTAAAGCTTGATGTGCCCTACCTGCGTCTGGACGTCTTTAGGCTGAGGGGTAGAACCACGTCAGCCTTTATCTGTCTAAGGAAGAAGAGAAGGAACATCCTGTAAAGCTTGATGTGCCCTACCTGCGTCTGGACGTCTTTAGGCTGAGGGGTAGAACCACGCCAGCTTTATCTGTCTAAGGAAGAGAAGGAACATCCTGTAAAGCTTGACGTGCCCCACCTGCGGCTGGCGCGGCGGCGTCATGCGGCCCAGCTCGCGCGCCAGCTCGGGCTTGTAGGTCTCGAAGAAGCGGAACCGGTCGGAGATGTCGGCCGTCTCCACGCGCACCTCCTCGGCCGACGAGCCGGAGCGGACCACGTCTTTGGGCGGACGGCTGGAGGATTGTGCTGGGAGCGCGTCCAGCTGCGGCCGTCTTCTAAGGGACACCAAGGTCCTTAAGTGACCCCAAGGTCCCTAAGTGACCCCAAGGTCCCTAAGTGACCCCAAGGTCCCGAAGTGACCCCAAGGTCTTTAAGTGACCCCAAGGTCTCTAAGTGACTACAAGGTCCCTAAGTGACCCCAAGGTGTCTAAGTGACCCCATGGTCCCTAAGTGACCCCAAGGTCCCCAAGTGACCCCAAGGTCCCAAAGTGACCCAAAGGTCCCCAAGTGACCCCAAGGTGTCAAAGTGACCCCAAGGTCCCTAAGTGACCCCAAGGTGTCTAAGAGACCCCAAGGTGTCTAAGTGACCCCAACGTGTCTAAGTGACCCCAAGGTGTCTAAGCGACCCCAAGGTCTCTAAGTGACCCCAAGGTCGCCAAGGTCCCTAAGAGACCCCAAGGTCCCTAAGCGACCCCAAGGTCCTCAAGCGACCCCAAGGTCCCTGAGTGACCCCAAGGGCCCTTAGTGACCCCAAGGTACCTAAGTGACCCCAAGTGACCCCAAGTTCCCTAAGTGACCCCAAGTGACCCCAAGGTCCCTAAGTGACCTAGGGTTCTTCCGCCATACGGAACTCCTTACTATCAACCTCGAACCTGTTACAGAATTTCTTTGTCCAGCAGTAGATGTCTTTCACCTAAGGAAGAAGAGAAGGAACATCCTGTAAAGCTTGACGTGCCCCACCTGCGGCTGGCGCGGCGGCGTCATGCGGACCAGCTTGCGCGCCAGCTCGGGCTTGTAGGTCTCGAAGAAGCGGAACCGGTCGGAGATGTCGGCCGTCTCCACGCGCACCTCCTCGGCCGACGAGCCGGAGCGGACCACGTCTTTGGGCGGACGGCTGGAGGATTGTGCTGGGAGCGCGTCCAGCTGTGGACGTCTTCTAAGGGACACTAAGGTGTCTAAGTGACCCCAAGGTGTCTAAGTGACCCCAAGGTGTCTAAGTGACCCCAAGAAGTCTAAGTGACCCCAAGGTGTCTAAGGTCCCCAACCAAGGTCCCTAAGTGACCCCAAGGTCCCAAGGTCCATAAGCGACCCCAAGTGACCCCAAGGTCTCCAAGTGACCTAGGGTTCTTTCCTACCTGCGTCTGGCGCGGCGGTGTCATGCAGAACTTGCATGAGCCTTTGTCCAGCAGTGTTGTCTCCTAAGGAAGATGCGAAGGAATGTCCTGTAAAGCTTGATGTGCCCCACCTGCGCCTGGCGCGGCGGCGTCATGCGGCCCAGCTTGCGCGCCAGCTCGGGCTTGTAGGTCTCGAAGAAGCGGAACCGGTCGGAGATGTCGGCCGTCTCCACGCGCACCTCCTCGGCCGACGAGCCGGAGCGGACCACGTCTTTGGGCGGACGGCTGGAGGATTGTGCTGGGAGCGCGTCCAGCTGTGGACGTCTTCTGGAGAGGGTCGAGATTCCAGGTTAAGCTTGACGTGGCGAAGGTTAAGAGATGTCAGTGTCAAGCTCATTGTCGCATGGACCTTTAGTCAGTGGACATCTTTTAAGAGAGCGAGAGGAATATGCTTGTGTCTAGCTTATTGTGACGTGGTCCTTTGTCCAGCAATGGACGTTTTTGGACCGAGGAGTCAGGAGTAAGATTCCAGTAAAAGTTTCTGCCTTTATCCAGTAAAAGACATCTAAGGGATAGAAGTAATACGTCTGTGTAAAGCTTGATAAGCAGGTAACATAACTGAGTCTGCCAGAGCTGTGTAATGCAGAACTTGCGTGAGCCTTTGTTCAGCAGTGTTGTCTCCTAAGGAAGAAGAGAAGGAATATGCTGTGAAGTTTGATGCGTCATAATTATGGAACTCCTTTTGACTCATCAATCTTCAAGGATATTCCTGAATTTCTTTGTCCAGCAGTAGACGTCTTTCACCTAAGGGAGAAGAATTTCGTTATCCTGCAGTAGACATCTTTCAACTAAGGGAGAAGAATTTCGTTATCCTGCAGTAGACATCTTTCACCTAAGGGAGAAGAATTTCGTTGTCCAGCAGTAGATGTCCTTCACCTAAGGGAGAAGGGGAGAAAAATGCCAATAAAGATAGATCTACTCTACCTGCGTCTAGCGTTGCGGCGTCATGCGGAACTCAGCGCAAGACGAAGCCGGTGTAAAGCTCGATTTGGCGTAGGCGTTTGTCTAGCTGTGGACGTCTTCTAGGGGACCCCTAAGGTCCCTAAGTGACCTAGGGGTCTTCCACCCTACCTGCGTCTGTCTCGGCGGCGTCATGCGGAACAGCTTGCGCGCCACCTCGGGCTTGTAGGTCTCGAAGAAGCGGAACCGGTCGGAGATATCGGCCGTCTCCACCCGCACCTCCTCGGCCGACTCGCCCGAACGGACCACGTCTTTGGGGATGAACGGCTGGAAATGATTATTTATTACTATTTATTGCAATAAAATACATTGTACACTAAGGCCGTATACAGACAGAAAGCTGGAAACTTATAAGCGCTTACCGGCGCTTGACAGCGATGGTATAACCCGCGCACGAAAATATATGAACGCGCCCCGATAAGCACTGAACGGCGCCGACAAGTTTCAACACGCGCTGGTCAGCGCTGGACGCTGCCATATAAAATGCCATTCAACTTGCTTCCTATGTGAATGAATGGTAAGCGCTTATAAGTTTCCAGTTTTCTTTCTGTATACGGCCTAAGCAATTTTTTTATATCAGGACTTTGAGCATGCCCAAATAGATATTTCGTCAACCCAGGTCAGAGCTGGCGCCTCAGAAGGAGGAGAGCCGACCCCATATCATGTAAAAAGGGCAAGGGCAAAGAAAAAGAGTATATTATTATACTTGGTTGGTTTTTATTTTGTGTATATATGTCGCAGGCAAATTGTATGATTCCGCATTTTACAAACGGCGTCGTCAGTTCACAAACGCTCGCTGCTCTATGAAATGCCGAAGGCAAAATGTAAATTGCCTGGGCACTTTATAATATGCCAAAACATTTGATAGCCAATTCAATTGCTGTTTACGAAATGCCGCGGCAAATTGAAGTATTTAGTTCTTTTTCATACCACGCGAGGCGCTGCTAATCAAAACAAGAAAAATGGCGTCGAGTCGTGGTGTTGTGATACAGAAAACAGTGCAAATTCTACGTATTCAAAGGACTTTTCACAAAAAAAGACATTTATTATACTTAGTGAATTAAAAATATTTTACGATTCACAAATAGGAGCAGTGAAAAAGCTATGGAAAAATGAAATAGTTTTTGAGGTTATCCGGCACGTAAAAAACGCTAAGGTGACAATGGAATCTGGTGCTCGGACTGGTGGAGGACTGCTGCGGAATATTATTGGTTTAAAAAAATATTGTGTTGTCTTCTGGACTTTTTCTAGGTAGGTATAATTAAAATGTAAGACTTAATTAAAGGACTGACTATCGAAACTTATTTTATGTCATAGTTTTATGTACCTACCTATAGGTACGTCAATAGTTTAAATTAGTTTAGTGTTGTTTTTATTACGAAAATATTTTAATTACTTTAGGAGTAGCTAGTATTTTAGGTTTGTCTTACCTGAATAGATACCTACCTGATTTCTGAAATTAAGTCTGATTTGTCCAACATGTGTTTTATGATGGTCACCCTATTGCAACAATCATAGTCGAAATTTTATCAATTGAACGAGTCGCCAATTTGCTTTCGGCATTTCATAGAACAGCGAGCGTTTGTAAACTGACGACGCCGTTTGTAAAATGCGAAATCATACAATTTGCCTGCGACATATACAGAAGCTTGTGAACAGGAGATTCTGAATTAGACTCCCGAGGAGGACAAAATAATAGTAATAGGAGGGACAACATGTAAAGTGTATTAGTAAGCGCACGAGTAACTACCTAATTACCTCGTAAATCACATGAAACAACAAGTAACCTACTTTGAATTATAAAAAAAGTGTGTGGTTATAAGTCAGAAAAATTATTTATTTAAGGGGTCGGCAACCAGCTGCTCCTTTTTTTCAGGAATTGTTACTTTTGACTCCTCCATCTTTGGAAATACTTTCTTACTTTATGAAGAAATCTTTCCGCTGTTTCACACAAATTGTCGAAATACAAGGTAATAATAAAGTTCAAAATGTGATTACCTACTATACTCAAATCTTGCTTATGCTGGATACTTGCTTATACTCAATATGCTGGAGGTATAAAGATACTCACGATTTCTTTGCGCTTGGGCGGCTCCTGCGGCGGCGGCGACAGCGGCGCCATGTTCTTGGCGTTGGCGTCTAGCTCCAGGAAGATCGAGCGGGACTTCTTGCCGATGCCTGGAAATAAATAATTCTTGTTAGGGGATGATAGAAGGGCTTTTGACGCCTACTGGTGGTGAAGATAGAGAGGGATTTCTTTACAATGCCTAGAATGATACCGAAGTTTATTGAAGGATTATGAAGAGGCTCTATTGGCGCCTCCTGGTGGTCAGTAACATTCACCGCTGTCGGATAAGATGTAGATGGTCCTGAGGTCCCGTCTGTCCCCCTTTGAGGGGGGAACGTTACCATGGTGCCGGCTACTAAGTGGCAGTGGGAACACCCCAGGTTTTTATTTATTTATTTATACTACAATGCCAAAATATTAACATTAGGCGAACTTAATGCCATAAAGCATTCTCATCCAGTTTACCTTCAGGTTATACAGAAAAATTAGTTTGGCGGTATAACAAAAAAAAATTAATAAAATTTTAGTAGGTTTGAGTCTTAGGTGTATGGACAAGACATTCTCCTGAGAAAAAATGGGGGGTATTGACAAAGTTTATTGGTCAATGTACTTTTATAATGTGGTAAACGTCAGCTTAACATAGCGGGGTGAATGTTTATTTATTTATTTATTTATCTTTATTAAAGAAACATACAGCCTTGTTTGACACATGCAGCTTAAAATTAAGTGGGTTATACATTGGCCTTTAAAGTTTCTAAAGCTAGATAGAGTCGTGGGGTAAACGTTACATTAAAAGTCGCGCAGTAAACATCAGAGTAGCGTCGCGGGGTTAACGTCAGATTAGCGTTGCAAGGTAAAACGGTAAACGTTGGTCAAGGGTCGCGGGGTAAACCAAGGGTAAACGGCATTTCAACGGGTCACGGGCAAAACGTCAAAATAGCGTCGCAGGGTAAACGTCAGAGAGAGTAAAAGTACGAGTGAGTTTGAGTGTTAGCGTGTGTATAGTGTTATTGTGCATTTTTTTCAAGAGGTGTGTGTATTGTGCATAGTTTCCAAGAGTGTGTACCTTCGTTGAAGAGCGAGCGGTCTTCAATATCTCTATTCCTGGATGGCTCCACTGGCTCATTCAACACGCGTCCGCTCTCGAAGCGTTCCTTGATGGAGCGCGCCTTCTCTGTGTGTATATTGTTGTATGTGTATATGTGTAGTATACATATGAATAAGTGAGAGTAAGTGTCACCTGTATTCACAAATAATGCTTGTTTAAGTGAAACAGCAACGCTATGCAAAGTGGAACGCACAGTTTTGAATAGTGCTCTGTGATTAGTTCGTGTGTGTCAATCCGCCACTCAAGTATTGTCTATGAATAGGTTTTTGGGACCCTGTGCGTCCTCGCGCACTGTGCGACCTCATATAATGTTTGTGAATACGGGTGTGTGTATTTTGTTGGTAAATGAGTAATTGAGTACCTAAGAGTTTATAGAAAAAGTGACTAAGTTAAGTTCGTATATGTGCAGAAGAAACTAAGTACAAATATCTATGGGGAATGTAAGGTAACATTTTATTAAGTGTGTGTTTTGTATGTTGGTGAATTTTCATTCGTTCCTTGCAACAAATGACATCCACTACTGGACAAAGAACTACCCAAGGATTTCAACAACCACCGTTCCTTCACTGCTTGTATCCAGGTGTTTTCGCGACCTTTACCAAATCGTCGGTCCACTGAGTGGGAAGCTAGTATAGCAATAAGTGCCTACCTTCGTTGAAGAGCGAGCGGTCGTCGATCTCCCTGTTCCTTGGCGGCTAGTTATCATCTTTGAACACGTGGATTGCAAATGTGTACCTTAGTGTCATAGCAATAAGTGCCAATTTCCAGCCAGTACCTTCGTTTTATAGCGAGTATTCGGTATTCATCTTCTTCTCGTGTCGACAACAATCGAGTATTCGGTATATTGCGAATGTAGGTCGTAATACCATAGCAATAAGAGCCAATGTCCGACCTTCGTTGAAGAGCGAGCGGTCGTCGATTTCCCTGTTCCTTGGAGGCTGGTTTTCATCGTTGAACACGTGGATTGCTGTGTGCCGTAGTGTCATAGCAATAAGTGCCAATGTCCAGTATCTTCGTTTTAGAGCGAGTATTCTGTATATTGCGAATGTAGGTCGTAATACCATAGCAATAAGAGTCAATATCCTACCTTCGTTGAAGAGCGAGCGGTCGTCGATTTCCCTGTTCCTTGGCGGCTGGTTCTCATCTTTGAACACGTGGATTGAAAATGTGTGCCGTAGTGTCATAGCAATAAGTGCCAATGTCCAGTACCTTCGTTTTAGAGCGAGCAGTCGAATGTATACAGTGAATGTGTGTCGTAGCTCCATAGCAATAAGATCCAATGTCCAGTACCTTTATTGTAGAGCGAGTACTCGAGTGTATATTGCGAATGTATGTCATAATGCCATAGCAATAAGATTAAATATCCTACCTTCGTTGAAAAGCGAGCGGTCGTCGATTGTTCCCTGTTCCTTGGAGGCTGGTTTTCATTGTTGAATACGTGGATTGCAAATGTGTGCCGTAGTGTCCATAGCTGGATTGTAAATGTGTGCCGTAGTGTCATAGCAATAAGTGTCAATGTCCAGTACCTTCGTTTTAGAGCGAGTATTCGGTATATTGCGAATGTAGGTCGTAATACCATAGCAATAAGAATCAATATCCTACCTTCGTTGAAGAGCGAGCGGTCGTCGATTTCCCTGTTCCTTGGCGGCTGGTTTTCATCGTTGAACACGTGGATTGCAAATGTGTGCCGTAGTGTCCATAGCTGGATTGTAAATGTGTGCCGTAGTGTCATAGCAATAAGTGCCAATGTCCAGTACCTTCGTTTTAGAGCGAGTATTCGTTATATTGCGAATGTAGGTCGTAATACCATAGCAATAAGAATCAATATCCTACCTTCGTTGAAGAGCGAGCGGTCGTCGATTTCCCTGTTCCTTGGCGGCTAGTTCTCATCTTTGAACACGTGGATTGCAAATGTGTACCTTAGTGTCATAGCTATAAGTGCCAATGTCCAGTACCTTCGTTTTAGAGCGAGCAGTCGAATGTATACAGTGAATGTGTGTCGTAGCTCCATAGCAATAAGATCCAATGTCCAGTACCATTATTGTAGAGCGAGTACTCGAGTGTATATTGCGAATGTATGTCATAATGCCATAGCAATAAGATTCAATATCCTACCTTCGTTGAAAAGCGAGCGGTCGTCGATTGTTCCCTGTTCCTTGGAGGCTGGTTTTCATTGTTGAATACGTGGATTGCAAATGTGTGCCGTAGTGTCCATAGCTGGATTGTAAATGTGTGCCGTAGTGTCATAGCAATAAGTGCCAATGTCCAGTACCTTCGTTTTAGAGCGAGTATTCGGTATATTGCGAATGTAGGTCGTAATACCATAGCAATAAGAATCAATATCCTACCTTCGTTAAAGAGCGAGCGGTCGTCGATCTCCCTGTTCCTTGGAGGCTGGTTTTCATCGTTGAACACGTGGATTGCAAATGTGTGCCGTAGTGTCCATAGCTGGATTGTAAATGTGTGCCGTAGTGTCATAGCAATAAGTGCCAATGTCCAGTACCTTCGTTTTAGAGCGAGTATTCGGTATATTGCGAATGTAGATCGTAATACCATAGCAATAAGAGTAAATATCCTACCTTCGTTGAAGAGCGAGCGGTCGTCGATTTCCCTGTTCCTTGGCGGCTAGTTCTCATCTTTGAACACGTGGATTGCAAATGTGTGCCGTAGTGTTCATAGCTGGATTGCAAATGTGTGCCGTAGTGTCATAGCAATAAGTGCCAATGTCCAGTACCTTCGTTTTAGAGCGAGTATTCGGTATATTGCGAATGTAGGTCGTAATACCATAGCAATAAGAGTCAATATCCTACCTTCGTTGAAGAGCGAGCGGTCGTCGATTTCCCTGTTCCTTGGCGGCTGGTTCTCATCTTTGAACACGTGGATTGAAAATGTGTGCCGTAGTGTCATAGCAATAAGTGCCAATTTCCAGCCAGTACCTTCGTTTTAGAGCGAGTATTCGGTATTCATCTTCTTCTTGTGTCGACAACAATCGAGTATTCGGTATATTGCGAATGTAGGTCGTAATACCATAGCAATAAGAGTCAATATCCTACCTTCGTTGAAGAGCGAGCGGTCGTCGATTTCCCTGTTCCTTGGAGGCTGGTTTTCATCGTTGAACACGTGGATTGCAAATGGGTACCGTAGTGTCATAGCTATAAGTGCCAATTTCCAGCCAGTACCTTCGTTTTAGAGCGAGTATTCGGTATTCATCTTCTTCTCGTGTCGACAACAATCGAGTATTCGGTATATTGCGAATGTAGGTCGTAATACCATAGCAATAAGAGTCAATATCCTACCTTCGTTGAAGAGCGAGCGGTCGTCGATCTCCCTGTTCCTTGGCGGCTGGTTTTCATCGTTGAACACGTGACCACTTTCGAAGCGTTCCTTGATAGCGCGCGCTTTTTCTGCGTCAAGCTCTAGCTCTTTTGCTATCTTGTCCGATGACGTCACACCTGGGGAATGATTGAAAGTTGAAAAATTTTGTTACGGCATCTAGATAAAAAGGGCCTGTGTACAACACGTTTTTAAGGGCGCATTTGCAGCGATACGCACGCAGGATTGTAGGGAAAAAGCGCGCCGTCGACGTAAGTTTTAGCGGTGTACACAGGCCTTAAAACTTTGTCAAGCAGAAATGCATTCTATTACCGATATGATTCAAAACCAAAATAAATCAAAATCAAAAGTTAGTTAAGACCACAAGTGGCACTTATGAACGTCAAAATTATTATAGAAAATAATAAAAAGGAAAAGTTAGCCCTTATGGGGCACTTTACATTAGGGATATTCGATATACATCGATGTATCGAAAACATCGATGTTTACAATGCGATACATCGAATGGATCCGATGATTTGAAAAGCTATTGAAATACTCGATGTATCGATGTTTTTAAGTTTTCAGTGTTAAAACATCGAATCGATGATAACCAATTAAAATTTCATAAAACTCAAGNCGACTCACCATGAACAGGCGGCTGCGTATGTTCTGTATCTCCTGCTTGCCTGGTGTCAGACACATCTAGCCTGGGGTCAGACTTCGTCTAGCCTGGAGTCAGACACCGACTCACCATGAACAGGCGGCTGCGTATGTTCTGTATCTCCTGCTTGCCTGGTGTCAGACACATCTAGCCTGGCGTCAGACACCGACTCACCATGAACAGGCGGCTGCGTATGTTCTGTATCTCCTGCTTGCCTGGTGTCAGACACATCTAGCCTGGCGTCAGACACATCTACTGGGGTCAGACTTCGTCTAGCCTGGAGTCAGACACCGACTCACCATGAACAGGCGGCTGCGTATGTTCTGTATCTCCTGCTTGCCTGGTGTCAGACACATCTAGCCTGGCGTCAGACACATCTACTGGGGTCAGACTTCGTCTAGCCTGGAGTCAGACACCGACTCACCATGAACAGGCGGCTGCGTATGTTCTGTATCTCCTGCTTGCCTGGTGTCAGACACATCTAGCCTGGCGTCAGACACATCTACTGGGGTCAGACTTCGTCTAGCCTGGAGTCAGACACCGACTCACCATGAACAGGCGGCTGCGTATGTTCTGTATCTCCTGCTTGCCTGGTGTCAGACACATCTAGCCTGGCGTCAGACACATCTACTGGGGTCAGACTTCGTCTAGCCTGGAGTCAGACACCGACTCACCATGAACAGGCGGCTGCGTATGTTCTGTATCTCCTGCTTGCCTGGTGTCAGACACATCTAGCCTGGCGTCAGACACATCTACTGGGGTCAGACTTCGTCTAGCCTGGAGTCAGACACCGACTCACCATGAACAGGCGGCTGCGTATGTTCTGTATCTCCTGCTTGCCTGGTGTCAGACACATCTAGCCTGGCGTCAGACACATCTACTGGGGTCAGACTTCGTCTAGCCTGGAGTCAGACACCGACTCACCATGAACAGGCGGCTGCGTATGTTCTGTATCTCCTGCTTGCCTGGTGTCAGACACATCTAGCCTGGGGTCAGACTTCGTCTAGCCTGGAGTCAGACACCGACTCACCATGAACAGGCGGCTGCGTATGTTCTGTATCTCCTGCTTGCCTGGTGTCAGACACATCTAGCCTGGGGTCAGACTTCGTCTAGCCTGGAGTCAGACACCGACTCACCATGAACAGGCGGCTGCGTATGTTCTGTATCTCCTGCTTGCCTGGTGTCAGACACATCTAGCCTGGGGTCAGACTTCGTCTAGCCTGGAGTCAGACACCGACTCACCATGAACAGGCGGCTGCGTATGTTCTGTATCTCCTGCTTGCCTGGTGTCAGACACATCTAGCCTGGGGTCAGACTTCGTCTAGCCTGGAGTCAGACACCGACTCACCATGAACAGGCGGCTGCGTATGTTCTGTATCTCCTGCTTGCCTGGTGTCAGACACATCTAGCCTGGGGTCAGACTTCGTCTAGCCTGGAGTCAGACACCGACTCACCATGAACAGGCGGCTGCGTATGTTCTGTATCTCCTGCTTGCCTGGTGTCAGACACATCTAGCCTGGTGTCAGACATCGACTCACCATGAACAGGCGGCTGCGTATGTTCTGTATCTCCTGCTTGCGCTCGCGCGTGCGTTGCGACGCGTCGTGCTGGCCCGTCTCGAACTTGCCGACTATCTCGCTCATGTTGCAGAAGGAGACTGGCTGCTCTCGGTTGGCTGTGTGCTTGTACACCATCTAGCTTGGTGTCAGACACCATCTAGCCTGTCAGGCACTATCTATCCTAGTGTCAGACATCATCTACCCCGGTGTCAGACACCATCTAGCTTGGTATCACTCACCATCTATCCTCGTGTCAGGCACTATCTAGCCTGGTGTCAGACTTCGTCTAGCCTGGTGTCAGACACCAACTAGCCTGGTGTCAGACACATGTAGCGTGGTGTCAGGCACCATCTAGCATGGTGTCATAGACCATCTTGCCTGGTGTCAGGCACCATCAAGCCTGGTGTCAGACCCCATTAGCCTGGTGTCAGACTTCGTCTAGCCTGGTGTCAGACCCCATCTCGCGTGGTGTCAGACTACATCTATCCGGGTGTCAGACACCATCTCGCCCGGTGTCAGACACCATCCAGCCTGGTGTCAGACATCGACTCACCATGAACAGGCGGCTGCGTATGTTCTGTATCTCCTGCTTGCCTGGTGTCAGACACATCTAGCCTGGGGTCAGACTTCGTCTAGCCTGGAGNTAAAAAAAAAACTGTTATTGTCAATGTCGCGTCACGCGTGTCGGTTGGCGAGTTTGTTTGTGTCAATCAACAAAGAAATAGGCTGAAAGGCAAACGTTTAAATAAACTGTTGTTTTTGCAAAGTCTTCCAAAAGAACACTGGAAATATTTAGGATATAACAAACTTATAAAAATAAATGCGGATGTTTTTTTTTGTTCTTACTTTAAACAGTGTGAGTCACGTTAAAGTGTACATATGAAAATATGTGAAACTAGACCTATTTTTATCGACAAAAAAAAGGTCAAAAATTTTTTGAGAATTTTTTTTATTTTTGAAGAATTTTTTTTCTTACAATTACTTCTCGTAAAGAAAACGTAATAACTTTTAAAATAAGAGGTATATCCTGATAAAATAAAAACAGTAATAATGCTAAATAACAGGCGATACTAAAAAAAAACATAAAATACCCAGAAAATGCCAACAAATAATAAAAAAAATTACTTTTTGAAAAAAATCTGCTTTTAAATTCGTGTTTTTTTGGTTATTTGATAAATTTCTCCAAAAAATGCCCCTAACGAAGCGTTGAATGGCCCGCCCGGAGAGGCTTAGTTCAAACGATCATTGCAAACATTGTGATAGGGATAGAGACATGCGATTTTTGGTTTTACAAAGGTAATACGATAAAAAATAATACAAAGTAATAAAAACCACCTGTTATGGGGGCATTATTTGGAGAAAGGACATCATCCATTTTGGTCCAAAATCAAAAGTGCCGGCGAAAAAATAAAAGTGCTGTATTCTGATAGAATACGTCCGCCTTAGCATTTATTACTATGGCACCAAAGCTGTAGCACCACTGTGCATCGTAGTATTTGAGTTCTAAAAATGTATGAAACGTGGATGACTTTGATCTCAAATACTACGACGCACAGTGGTGCTACAGCTTTGGTGCCATAGTAACAAATGCTAAGGCGGACGTATTCTGTCAGAATACAGCACTTTTTTTTTTATTGGCCGACACTTTTTATTTTGAACAAAAAATGTATGAATAATCGATGACTTTTAGATCTCAAATACTCGACGCACAGTGGAGCTACGGCTTTGGTGCCATAGTAACAAATGCTAAGGCAGACGTATTCTGTCAGAATACAGCACTTTTTTTTGTTGGCCGGCACTTTTGATTTTGGACCAAAAATATATGAAACGTGGATGATGTCCTTTATCAAATAACCAAAAAAACACGAATTTTAAAGCAGATTTTTTTCAAAAAGTATATTATTTTATTATTTGTTGGCATTTTCTAGGTATTTTATGTATTTTTTTAGTATCGCTTATTAGTTAGCATTATTACTATTTTCATTTGATAAGGATATACCTCTTAGTTTTAAAAGTTATTACGTTTTCTTTACGAGAAGTAATTGGAAGAAAAAAAATTCTATAAAAAATAAAAAAAAATCTCAAAAATTTTTGACCTCTTTTTTGTCGATAAAAATAGGTCTAGTTTCACTTATTTTCATATGTGCACTTTAACATGACTCACACTGTATAATGAAGATTTTTCTCATGTATGGCTTTTACTGTTTTTTAATAATACAATGCTTAAATTAGTGGATTATAAAAAATCTTAAAAAAGTACTCGATTTATACAAAACATCGATGTTTTCTTCCAATACATCGAAAGAAATCGATGTACAGTTTCAAAATATCGAATCGAAAAAAACATCGATGTTTTTTCAAAGTGGACACCCCTACTTTACATGTCTCTTTTAGGCCCTACCAGCTCATCTTTTGGGCCCTACCAGCGCTTCGAGACAAACATATGGCAAGTGCTGAGAAGCTGATTTGACGGCATGGCAGTGATTTAGAAGCTCTGCCACATTGTTTTAACAACAATACTATTTTGTCTCTTTTCAGTTTTCATCAGAACAAAATTATCATTTGACAAGAAAACTTACCTTGTTCACTTTGAAGAACTGACTGTTCATACATCTCTTTGATCTTGGCTTGCTTTCCCTGTAAATAAAAAAGGGTTTCTACAATACAATTTGATATTTCACATACAAATTCAAGCTATGTGGATATCATTGCGGGAGGCTTATGTTCTATTCAAGTGAGCGTTGTGTCACGCGGTTCAAGTCTGGTGTCAGACACCATCCAGCCTGGTGTCAGACACCATCTTGCCTGGTGTCGGACTCCTTCTAGCTTGGTGTCAGGGACCATCTAGCCCGGTGTCAGACACCATCTAGGTCATACACTATCTAGCCTAGTGTCTGACACCATCTAGCCTGGTGTCATGCACCATCTAGCCTGTGGCAGACACATCTAGCCTGGTGTCAGACACATCTAGCCTGGTGTCAGACACATCTAGCCTGGTGTCAGACACATCTAGCCTGGTGTCAGACGTCGACCCACCATGAACAGGCGTATGTTCTGTATCTTCTGCTTGCCTGGTGTCAGACACATCTAGCCTGGGGTCAGACTTCGTCTAGCCTGGAGTCAGACACCGACTCACCATGAACAGGCGGCTGCGTATGTTCTGTATCTCCTGCTTGCTGGTGTCAGACACATCTAGCCTGGGGTCAGACTTCGTCTAGCCTGGTGTCAGACATCGACTCACCATGAACAGGCGGCTGCGTATGTTCTGTATCTCCTGCTTGCCTGGTGTCAGACACATCTAGCCTGGTGTCAGACATCGACTCACCATGAACAGGCGGCTGCGTATGTTCTGTATCTCCTGCTTGCCTGGTGTCAGACACATCTAGCCTGGGGTCAGACTTCGTGACACATCTAGCCTGGTGTCAGACACCGACTCACCATGAACAGGCGGCTGCGTATGTTCTGTATCTCCTGCTTGCCTGGTGTCAGACACATCTAGCCTGGGGTCAGACTTCGTCTAGCCTGGTGTCAGACATCGACTCACCATGAACAGGCGGCTGCGTATGTTCTGTATCTCCTGCTTGCCTGGTGTCAGACACATCTAGCCTGGCGTCAGACACATCTACTGGGGTCAGACTTCGTCTAGCCTGGAGTCAGACACCGACTCACCATGAACAGGCGGCTGCGTATGTTCTGTATCTCCTGCTTGCCTGGTGTCAGACACATCTAGCCTGGCGTCAGACACATCTACTGGGGTCAGACTTCGTCTAGCCTGGAGTCAGACACCGACTCACCATGAACAGGCGGCTGCGTATGTTCTGTATCTCCTGCTTGCCTGGTGTCAGACACATCTAGCCTGGCGTCAGACACATCTACTGGGGTCAGACTTCGTCTAGCCTGGAGTCAGACACCGACTCACCATGAACAGGCGGCTGCGTATGTTCTGTATCTCCTGCTTGCCTGGTGTCAGACACATCTAGCCTGGCGTCAGACACATCTACTGGGGTCAGACTTCGTCTAGCCTGGAGTCAGACACCGACTCACCATGAACAGGCGGCTGCGTATGTTCTGTATCTCCTGCTTGCCTGGTGTCAGACACATCTAGCCTGGCGTCAGACACATCTACTGGGGTCAGACTTCGTCTAGCCTGGAGTCAGACACCGACTCACCATGAACAGGCGGCTGCGTATGTTCTGTATCTCCTGCTTGCCTGGTGTCAGACACATCTAGCCTGGCGTCAGACACATCTACTGGGGTCAGACTTCGTCTAGCCTGGAGTCAGACACCGACTCACCATGAACAGGCGGCTGCGTATGTTCTGTATCTCCTGCTTGCCTGGTGTCAGACACATCTAGCCTGGCGTCAGACACATCTACTGGGGTCAGACTTCGTCTAGCCTGGAGTCAGACACCGACTCACCATGAACAGGCGGCTGCGTATGTTCTGTATCTCCTGCTTGCCTGGTGTCAGACACATCTAGCCTGGCGTCAGACACATCTACTGGGGTCAGACTTCGTCTAGCCTGGAGTCAGACACCGACTCACCATGAACAGGCGGCTGCGTATGTTCTGTATCTCCTGCTTGCCTGGTGTCAGACACATCTAGCCTGGCGTCAGACACATCTACTGGGGTCAGACTTCGTCTAGCCTGGAGTCAGACACCGACTCACCATGAACAGGCGGCTGCGTATGTTCTGTATCTCCTGCTTGCCTGGTGTCAGACACATCTAGCCTGGCGTCAGACACATCTACTGGGGTCAGACTTCGTCTAGCCTGGAGTCAGACACCGACTCACCATGAACAGGCGGCTGCGTATGTTCTGTATCTCCTGCTTGCCTGGTGTCAGACACATCTAGCCTGGCGTCAGACACATCTACTGGGGTCAGACTTCGTCTAGCCTGGAGTCAGACACCGACTCACCATGAACAGGCGGCTGCGTATGTTCTGTATCTCCTGCTTGCCTGGTGTCAGACACATCTAGCCTGGCGTCAGACACATCTACTGGGGTCAGACTTCGTCTAGCCTGGAGTCAGACACCGACTCACCATGAACAGGCGGCTGCGTATGTTCTGTATCTCCTGCTTGCCTGGTGTCAGACACATCTAGCCTGGCGTCAGACACATCTACTGGGGTCAGACTTCGTCTAGCCTGGAGTCAGACACCGACTCACCATGAACAGGCGGCTGCGTATGTTCTGTATCTCCTGCTTGCCTGGTGTCAGACACATCTAGCCTGGCGTCAGACACATCTACTGGGGTCAGACTTCGTCTAGCCTGGAGTCAGACACCGACTCACCATGAACAGGCGGCTGCGTATGTTCTGTATCTCCTGCTTGCCTGGTGTCAGACACATCTAGCCTGGCGTCAGACACATCTACTGGGGTCAGACTTCGTCTAGCCTGGAGTCAGACACCGACTCACCATGAACAGGCGGCTGCGTATGTTCTGTATCTCCTGCTTGCCTGGTGTCAGACACATCTAGCCTGGCGTCAGACACATCTACTGGGGTCAGACTTCGTCTAGCCTGGAGTCAGACACCGACTCACCATGAACAGGCGGCTGCGTATGTTCTGTATCTCCTGCTTGCCTGGTGTCAGACACATCTAGCCTGGCGTCAGACACATCTACTGGGGTCAGACTTCGTCTAGCCTGGAGTCAGACACCGACTCACCATGAACAGGCGGCTGCGTATGTTCTGTATCTCCTGCTTGCGCTCGCGCGTGCGTTGCGACGCGTCGTGCTGGCCCGTCTCGAACTTGCCGACTATCTCGCTCATGTTGCAGAAGGAGACTGGCTGCTCTCGATTGGCTGTGTGCTTGTACACCATCTAGCCTGTCAGGCACTATCTATCCTAGTGTCAGACATCATCTACCCCGGTGTCAGACACCATCTAGCCTGTCAGGCACTATCTATCCTAGTGTCAGACACCATCTACCCCGGTGTCAGACACCATCTAGCTTGGTATCACTCACCATCTATCCTGGTGTCAGGCACTATCTAGCCTGGTGTCAGACTTCGTCTAGCCTGGTGTCAGACACCAACTAGCCTGGTGTCAGACACATGTAGCGTGGTGTCAGGCACCATCTAGCATGGTGTCATAGACCATCTTGCCTGGTGTCAGGCACCATCAAGCCTGGTGTCAGACCCCATTAGCCTGGTGTCAGACTTCGTCTAGCCTGGTGTCAGACACCATCTAGCCTGGTGTCAGACTCCATTTAGCCTGGCGTCAGACACCATCTATCCTGTGTCAGACACATCTAGCCTGGTGTCAGACACCGACTCACCATGAACAGGCGGCTGCGTATGTTCTGTATCTACTGCTTGCCTGGTGTCAGACACATCTAGCCTGGGGTCAGACTTCGTCTAGCCTGGAGTCAGACACCGACTCACCATGAACAGGCGGCTGCGTATGTTCTGTATCTCCTGCTTGCCTGGTGTCAGACACATCTAGCCTGGGGTCAGACTTCGTCTAGCCTGGAGTCAGACACCGACTCACCATGAACAGGCGGCTGCGTATGTTCTGTATCTCCTGCTTGCCTGGTGTCAGACACATCTAGCCTGGCGTCAGACACATCTACTGGGGTCAGACTTCGTCTAGCCTGGAGTCAGACACCGACTCACCATGAACAGGCGGCTGCGTATGTTCTGTATCTCCTGCTTGCCTGGTGTCAGACACATCTAGCCTGGCGTCAGACACATCTACTGGGGTCAGACTTCGTCTAGCCTGGAGTCAGACACCGACTCACCATGAACAGGCGGCTGCGTATGTTCTGTATCTCCTGCTTGCCTGGTGTCAGACACATCTAGCCTGGGGTCAGACTTCGTCTAGCCTGGAGTCAGACACCGACTCACCATGAACAGGCGGCTGCGTATGTTCTGTATCTCCTGCTTGCCTGGTGTCAGACACATCTAGCCTGGGGTCAGACTTCGTCTAGCCTGGAGTCAGACACCGACTCACCATGAACAGGCGGCTGCGTATGTTCTGTATCTCCTGCTTGCCTGGTGTCAGACACATCTAGCCTGGGGTCAGACTTCGTCTAGCCTGGAGTCAGACACCGACTCACCATGAACAGGCGGCTGCGTATGTTCTGTATCTCCTGCTTGCCTGGTGTCAGACACATCTAGCCTGGGGTCAGACTTCGTCTAGCCTGGAGTCAGACACCGACTCACCATGAACAGGCGGCTGCGTATGTTCTGTATCTCCTGCTTGCCTGGTGTCAGACACATCTAGCCTGGGGTCAGACTTCGTCTAGCCTGGAGTCAGACACCGACTCACCATGAACAGGCGGCTGCGTATGTTCTGTATCTCCTGCTTGCCTGGTGTCAGACACATCTAGCCTGGGGTCAGACTTCGTCTAGCCTGGAGTCAGACACCGACTCACCATGAACAGGCGGCTGCGTATGTTCTGTATCTCCTGCTTGCCTGGTGTCAGACACATCTAGCCTGGGGTCAGACTTCGTCTAGCCTGGAGTCAGACACCGACTCACCATGAACAGGCGGCTGCGTATGTTCTGTATCTCCTGCTTGCGCTCGCGCGTGCGTTGCGACGCGTCGTGCTGGCCCGTCTCGAACTTGCCGACTATCTCGCTCATGTTGCAGAAGGAGACTGGCTGCTCTCGGTTGGCTGTGTGCTTGTACGACTTCTTGAGGACCGAGTCTTCGTCTGGGGAGGGAAAAATACAACGTTAAGGAAGGCAAGTAAGTAGGTACTTAAATTCATTTTTTATGTAGGCTCTTTTCCTGCCCTACCACCACTTAAAAAAATCATATTGGCTGATGCTGAGAAGAAGCAAAAGAAGGCACTGCACTTTTTTTGCAATTTGATTTGCTCCAATTACTTACGCCCGTGTTCACAAACATTACTGTGAGGTCTCACAGTGCGCGCGGACGCACAGGGTCACACACGAACCAATCACAGAGCTCTATTCAACGTTTGCTGCTTCACGCAAGCATCGTTGAATACGGGCGTTAGTCCCTATAACACTTATATGCCAATAAGTTTACTGGAATAGTCCAAGAGATTCGAAGTACCGATCCTCGAATCAGTGTGCCTACCATGAGTTTACGTTAGGTGAGCTCGCTAGCGAATACGTCAAAAAATTCTATGAAGATTTTATTTCTTGAAAGTAGCCGCTAGGGGCGCTGCACAATATGTCATACATTTAAATGTCATTTTTTTACGCAGTCGCTAGCGAGCACACCTAACGTAAACTCATGGTAGGCACACAGTAGTCCGACACTAATACCATTGGGGTATTGTCGCCTCGAATGTGCTGGAGATCTAGTGTTATTTTTATAATTGATCAAACTTAAAGGATAGATTGTATTGCTCCAATGCAACAACTCGAAAAACTTCATTCGTCGGCCGTTTGGTGTAGTGGTTCAGAACGGACTACTATGCCGAGAGGTCCCGGGTTCGATTCCCGGCCGGGCAGAAATTGAAATGATGAATTTTAATTTCTGTGACGGGTCTGGGTGTTTTCTATGTATAATATGTATGTATTTACAAAAAAAAAAGTATTTAAGTATGTTTATCCCGTCGTCTAGTACCCATAGTACAAGCTTTGCTTAGTTTGGGACTAGAGGCGCAGTGTAACATGTCCAAGGATATTTATATTTATATTTTTATATATTTTCTCTTAAGGTCTGAAGTTTAAACATTACATACCCTCCTCATCCTCAGGCTCGCTGGAGCTGGCCTCCACGGGCACTCCGTTCAGGTACTCGTCTGACACTCCCACGTCCATGCCCTTCGCCTTGAACCTGCGACCAAAGTGCTATGGTTAGATACATGGAGTTATGAACCTGCAACCAAAGTGCGTGGATTTTTTGTCTTTGGCACTTTAATGATATTGGTTTTATATTAGGCTAATAACACTCATAAAACTCATTTATTTATGCAAGTAGGCGTTTAAAAAGCACTTTCACACGTCCCAGTATTAACTCTACCACTGCTTGTGGACAATAAATGGGCCAGTGCTGAGAAGAAGCAGCGCAAGAAACTCAGTCACTAATACAGGGTCCTTCTAAACTAGCTACATTCCTTTTAATGGGGGCATCTATACGGTACACTGAACAAGTTCACCAAATTTGAGTATGTGTTTTATAATGATTTTACAAAGTTACATTTTCTAACAAAAATAAAAATTCATTTCGTCTTACTTAATGGAACATGCTGTATTTTTTACTCACACAACAAAGCTGTAGTGTATTCATTCTGCACAGGAACACGAGACACAACACACACAACGCTCACTACCACTGCACACTTTTTTGTTGTTTACACTCACGTCATAACAACTCACAGCAGTCGTCACAGCTGATAGCCGATTAGCTGATCGACTGATTGGGCGAGCTATCACTTCAATGTTGCAGGCCTACTCTCATATCGTTGTCTAACCTTATTACCTTATGTTAATCACAGTAAAACGGACTCACGATACCATCGAAAAAAGGCCATGATTTTTAAGGCGTGTCTTAGTAAATTTATTTGCATTTGTGCACCTGTGAGTCATAGTTCACTTCACGAGCACTACAAAACGCACCTTCACACAAGAAAGCTAGTCAAAAACTGAATTAAATCAAAGCGCACGCGCCGACAAATGCCGACAAGCCGCACGCCTTTTGTTGACACAAAGACGCCGACGCCGCCAAAGCAAGAGCCGAAAAGTTGGCATAAGCGTACAGTCGACGGGGCGTGGCGCGTGTCTCCGCGATATGCCCAGAAACGAACATCGGCCGCGTAGCTAGGTTAGTCGCGATTCAGTCGTACTAAGGAAATGTTCTCCGATATTTTGGATAATGCGTCGTTACGTGCAATAAAACAAGTGAAACGAAGAACTACAGGAACAATGGAGTCATTTACTACATGTAAGTATTGCAAATCCATTGGTATTTTGCTTATAAATAAAAAAAACTAAACATTTTCACGAACGAATTCAGTGCCGTAACAGTTACTGCGATATCGATATCAGTGGTGATAAAAATTCTAACACGCTTGTACATTGACGATTTAGTTAGCAACCACTTTATGTCATGCTCAACTACTGCGCAATGTATTTAATTTCTTCCGATATCCACTGTCGTGTGAAAATACACAGTACGGCCGCATGTGCCGGTCGTAACATAGTGCCGTGCTCGTGTTCTAATGCGGTTTCCTATTATCGATAAATAGAAGTAAATTATAATTTTCTATTTTGTAATTTTAAATAAAAAAATGATGTGTTACTTGCGATTATAAGATTTTACAAAAAAATAATAACAGTAGAAGTAATTAGTAACTGTCAACTATGTAATTACTATAAGAGCTAGTTGAAAGCAGGCATTATTTTTGATAAACATATGCGGTACGCAGATCGCCATAATTAAAAAATAAATGCGTGATATTAGTTAATAATAACGTATAATAATAAAAAGGTTTTCATACATAAGCATTTTGTGAAACCAGTTTCGAGCCTTGCCCCTAGCGATTTAAAGTATCGATATCTTGTCGACTCCATTTTATCTTTGTTCTCTCACTAGCGTTTTCTATGTGTGCGTCACGTCACGCGGCCATTGATTGGCCATAAGGCACGCCTTCTGGCCAATCACAGCACTTTTAAGCCGGTTGCACATGTTGTCGTAGACTCTCAGTCGCTTTGTTTTTACACAGTTGAATGTGTGTGTGGGAGCTGTGGCGGGGGAAATGTGGGGACACTGGTTCTCGTTGTAGTTACGCGCGACTTCATATCTATTCTCTTTCTATGATCTGAGGTACCTAATTAGTTAAATAAAATTTCCGAATCATTTCCGTTCCAACTTGGTATTTATTTATGACCTATCTTATGTACCTGTGATTTAACAATAAACACAATTTTAATTTGAATAGTAAAATAAAGTTTGTTGCATTTCTTAATTTTATTTTGGTGAGTGTACATTGCGCTAGCCGGCGGCCGGCGGCACGTGTCTAAAGGCGGCGGCAAGTTCGTTTTCTGCGCCGGCTAGTGTTGTACGATACGGAGTCTTGGAANGTGCTCGTACTTTGTTGAGTTTGTTGAACTTAAGCGGAGAAAGTTCTGAGCTCAAAGACGTTTGGTTGCAGTCTGCTAAAGGATACAATCTGCAAAGGTGCACACTTGGACTTATTGATACATCGCAACTTATATCATCAGAAAGGTAGCTTTAAGTTGCCAGACATTCTACTTTATCGGCGATCGGCGATTTTGCAATTGTATCGATGCAGTATCACGATTTCATGCTTTCAGACGCGGTATCGGAATCGCGCGTTTTTGCTAGTGTCCGACCGAATATGGATTTTCAGCCGAAAACGGAAACGAAAACGAAGCTTCGGCTGCAGTCTCATTTTCGGCCGAAAACGAAAACGAAAACGAAAATGACCTTCAACTCTCAAATTTCAATCTGAAATTATGTAAAAACTTTGAAAACCGTTAATGTTTTGACCAAAAACATAATGACGTTTGACAGTTGATTTTGATAGATTGATTATAGAAAACCGGCATTAAAACACAAAAAAAAATATCATGAAATTCTTAGTAGAATATTATTTCCGGTGTATATTGAAATATTGGGAAGTGAAGAAGAAATAAAGGGTGTCAAGTGGGAATTTTTTAACTTCAAAAATGAATACAAATAAATTAATGATTTTTTATTATTTATTACTAATGCAAACTGGAGTTTAACAATGTGGATTAAATTTTTTATAGGCAATGTCTTTTAAATGATGCCCGTTTTACTATAGGCACTCTCACAGTCGGACCCTTACATTCGCAACTATGCGAGAGCAAATCGCGCTAATAATTTTCCTGCAACTTCACGGCGGATATTTTCTTACAGAACCTGAATTATTTAAGGATTGTTTGCTGTAAACTTTTGATTTGAGATATTCCCACAAGAAAAAGTCGCATGGTGTGAGATCTGGTGACCGAGGCGCCTAGGGTATGTCCCTGTACTTGCTGATCATTTATTTGAAAAAAAAAAAAATAGTCCTCAGTGTCTCCATCGAGGTACTCTCCGTGTGTGGTGAGACACCTTCTTGCTTAAATAGAGTTACGTAGTTGACCGGGATGCAGTTGCAGTTGTGGTATCAGACATTCATCGATCATTCGACAATACATTTCAAATACTTATTGCTCAACTGCGAACGCTCTGTAGGCACCAGTGACTCATGGCGTATTATTTTGAAACAATTAAACTTAATGAAAACTCTTTGGGTTTATTGTATTCAATTTTGAACTTGGAAAATTGTTGCTGGACACCCTTTACAACGTAACCTCACTTCACAACTTCAAAAGAGTGTGACAATACCGCGTCCGTTCAAGTCTGATTGGAACCATGAGTGCACCAGATGCACTCCCGAAGATATCGGAACGATAAACGTCACCATCTTATTCACGTATTTCTGATATTCGGTTTGGCCGAAGCTTCGGCTGGTTTTTGGCCGAAAACGAAAATATGGCCGAATGTCCATTTTTTGGCCGAAAATGGCCGAAAACGAAAACGAAAACGAATATTCGGTCGGTCACTAGTTTTTGCGACTGCTGTCGCTGCGTCGAGCTTCCGAAAAGCGATTTCGCTGCTCGAATGTGTGGTCGGTATTCAGCTTCTAATATGCGGCTAAATCGCGGATCGCTATGCTAAAAGTAGCATTGTGTGCCGTGGCTCTAATGGTTACCTTACAACAATGGGGATGTTGCCTGGGTCAAAAAGCAAGAGTTTTAATTAGTCCATCAGTTAACTTATCAAAAAATACACTACACGTATTTTTCACTTTTTCAAACTAATGAAAATTTAAAGAGATAAAGCGCCCCAAAGTTCATAAGAAGAGGCCCGTGACGTCAACGCTTGCTTAAAAATGCCGCACGTTGTGACGTCGTGCGCAACTTCAACGCACCATAACTATGTAATTATTTGTTAGATTGACAAATAAAAATATATGTGTCCAATATTTTTTGATATTAAACATTACGGACTAAAAAAATTTTTTTAGGCAACTAGCCTATTCAATTAGGTAAAGATCATGTATTATTGTGACTTATCATTTTTTTTATATTTCGTATCGTGCGAGAAAGTGGATCCTTTTACACGGAAAGTGTAACTGAATTTTAAACCTGACTTCAGCTTCAGTTACAAATAAAAAACCATTCATAAATGTCGCCAATGCGACGTTTCATAAAAAAGCTAAATGGACACACGAAAATGTAACACCCGTAAGTGTTTTAACAAATTAGGAACACTTCGCGTGCCAAAACTCTCAACACCTGTACATTTTCACGTCTGTCTTGACACTGAACGTGTTAAACTTGTCAAAGTCAGCAAACATACCATTTGCCAAGGCATTTAAGTGGCATTTAACGTAAATCATGGAACGTTTAGGCCGTATTAGTACACTGGGCACAGTTTTGGATATTCTCCGAGTATTTTTGAGTTCATTCACATCTGTCAAGATATCAATCTTTTTTAGTTTTACTTTATAGATTTTACCCTTTCAAGCCCTGAGTATTGAGACACAATAGATGATCAATTTTTACTCGGTCATAATTATGTGACCGCTTGGGGTTAAATTGGATATTAAAATCTACATTAATCTATGAGCCGGGATAATAGGTAAAGGTTTTTTATAATAAATTGATACATAACAAATAATCACAAGATTTCACCAATAACCAAAAGATTTTCACCATTTAATACGGTTCAGAAAAGTTGATCGAATAAACGGGGTTTTGATTTTTATCACTCAATTTTGATAATTAAAACTTACTAAAAAT